TCTTTTACAGGGTTGGGATGCTGCTGAAGTAAAAAATAAATTTTAAAAAATAAAAAAATTTTTTTGATTTAAAGATAATATTAACTAATACTTTGGCTTTTTTAACGAAAAAAGAAGAAAATAAAATTAATAAAAATAAAACTTTAAATGTTTTTCCAACACAAAAATTATGTAGACGATTAAATGAAAGTTATTGCCCAGAAAGCATGTAAGTATTGAGCAGGGACCCCATCACCGATCCAAAGAAAATTTTGTAAACCCCAACCAAACCCCAACTTTATTCTCAACCTAGCCCATCCATGGAATGGAAATAAATGTTTAAATAATATTTGATTACTACATATATGTGTTTTTAACTGAAGAATAAATAATAATTCAAAATTATTTTTTCGAATAATTTATTAAATTTTGTTTAATTCTCATAAAAATATTCACAATATAGGTAGTTGAAAAAAACCAATCCTCTTTCACTATAATGAGGAAGGCCATATTTTTAGGAAGGCCATATTTTTTTTAATTGAAAGGCCATATTTTTAATTTCTATTCAAAAACCCAATTTTAGGGGAACAGACAGCTTTACAGTAACAATTTTAAATGGAAATTCAAAACAATTTTCTGGCTATATCCGTATTCCAGTAAATAATCAAAATATTCAAATTTTATCAAATAATGGACAACAAATTGATTTTAGAGTATTTTTTAATTTTGAAAAAATTTTTCTTTAATTTTTCAAGTTAATTCCTTTATTTATATCACCACAATCTCAAAAAATAAATCAATCCAAATATGAATTAATATTTAAAGCAAATGTTGGGCCTGTTGGATTTACTACTTTTTTTGTTATTATAAACGAGTAAAGAAAAATAAATTTAAAAAAATAAAAATAAATTTTTTAAAAGTCCTTTATTACCTTCAAATCAAACACAAAATCAACTAAATACTACAAAAAGTATTCCCGAGTTGCCTCAAATTTTACAAAAATCTACAACAAATAAACAATTATTTACTACAAAATTACCAAATACTCCTTCTATTTCACCAATTCAATTAAATAAAACAAATGGATTAATTGAAAATAAAGTAATGTAGATATATAAATTAACGAGACATGAAATCCTGGTTATGATTATAAGAGGATGGAAATGACCAGATCGCTTAACGGCATCGTCATTTAACCAGCAGTTTTATTGTTTAGGCCCTGGCTCCTCCTGTTTTTGCGGCCTTATTTTAAACATTTGTCTGAGTTTATGTCCCGATATTTTCGATCCAAGGATATAATTTCCGGTGAATTACTGTTAAGGTTCAAGACTTTGGTGACTGGCATTGGGCTTGTCCTCTTTTTATCAGAGCTTTAATAATTAAAAAAATATTTTTTAAAGTACATCCGTCTTAATTTTAATGAAAATGGCCTAATAGAATCCTTTGAAGATTTAACTAGAGAAAATGCTAATTTTAAATTTACACAAGAATTTTTTTATTATGAAGGGTTATCATCTGGAGCTTATATTTTTGGGTGATTTTAAATTAGAAAATATTTTTATATTGAAAGTTTTTAGGGCAAATTCGGATTTAGAACCAACACCATTTAACGAAACTACAAAAACTGAATTTATTAGAGTAAATTTAAAAATATTTTTTTGTTAAAGTAAAATTGACTTTTTTCTGAAAATTTTTTAGAAATTATTTTTATGGGGAATTTGTATATTACTACCTTATAATTAGTACCTTACTAACACACGCAATTTTGGACACGTAACGGGATTTTTCAAATAAGTTGTACGGGCCTGGATGCAGCGAGATTAAGCGGGGTAATATTTAATTTGGATCCCGTATGTCATTCAACACCCCATCCCTTAAAATCTCGTCAGTATCCCATTTATAACTTCAAAAAAGTCATCCTTTCTTTAATATTACCACTTAAAAATGTATAAATAATTAACAATTTTAGAACGATTTTGTACAAGAAGCAAGACAAATTGTTAGTCCTTGGGTTAGTCAAACAATTCGGTTATTCGAAGATAAAAAATATATTGAATTTGAATTTCTTGTTGGACCAATTCCAATAGAGTTAACATTTTTTCTTTTTTTTAATTCAAAAAATATTTTAATTTAAAGAGAATTTAAATCAAAAGAAATAATTACAAGATATTCAATGCCAGAAATTAATTCAAGCGGTATTTTTTGGACAGATTCTAATGGACGTAGAAATATTCAAAGAAAGTGACTGAATATTTTAATTACCTAATTTTTTTCTTTTTTTAAAGAAGAAATTTCAATAAATATTTTAATTTGGGAGAAAATATAAAATATCCATCAAGTGCCAATTATTACCCAATTACTAGCCGAATAGGTTTATCTGACAATTTAAATCAAATGAGTATATTAACTGATCGTTCACAAGGAGGGACTAGTTTAAATGATGGACAGATTGAAATTATGGTTTTTTGGAATAATAATTAAAAAGAATTCCTAATTAAAGGTACATCGTCGTTGTGTTATGGATGATAGGTTGGGTGTTGAGGAAGTTTTGAATGAACCGGTAAGTAAATATTAGAGATCGAGCTGGATCTGGATTGAGACTTTGATTTTTCTAGATCCAGTGTACAGATCAGAGAAATATATTTAGTAAATATATAGTAAATTCTCTATATTAATAACCTTTCTCTAGTCTAGTCTTCTTTTGAGAGGTCATTAACTAGTAGTACTAGGGAGAATATATACATTAAAATAGGGTAGTACCCGAAACCCCGACTCCCGACGACCCGAACCTCGAAGACTACCCCGACAAACCCCGATCCCCGACGATCCGGCCACGAAGGCTCGGGGTGCTACTCTACATTAAAAAATAAATTAATAACCCCATTTTTTAGGGCGAAGATGGAAATGGTTTAATTATTCGTGCCAAACATTGGCTACATTTTGGACCTAAAACAGAAGAACCTTCTTTAAATAGAATATTAGGCCTTCAACTCTTCCACGAACCAACACTCATTTTTTCTAAATTTTCTGGAGAATTTAATGATTACAATAATAAATATTTAACTAATGTTTTTACTAAAATATTTATTTAAAAATATTTTTGTTTTTAAATTTCAGTTTTCAGCTCTCAATTTTGATTTACCTCCAAATATTAATTTACTTACATTTAAACATATTGGGAATAAACAAATATTAATTCGTTTAGAACATATATTCCAAACAGGAGAAGATGCTAATTTAAGTAATCCAATTTATTTAAATTTACAGGTAAATTTTGAAATATTTTAAAGAAAAAATAATTTTTAAAGACAATTTTTAAAAATCTTCGATTTCAAAAAATAAAAGAATTAATGCTTGCTGGAAATATAGTATTTAATGAAGTTGTTGATGCCGAGAATGTCAAGTTAAAACCTATGGAAATTAGAACGTTTATGCTTACTACATAAAATTGGAAATTATTTAAAAATATCTTTTCTTTTTTCTAATTTTTTAAATTTATTCTGAAAATAGAGATGGGCTTAGTTTAAGTATAAACTAGAAAACACATGAATAATTAAGTTTAAGTTTTGTATTAAATTGCTATATCTCTATATTTGTTCATTATTAACTTTTTATTCCTTCCAGTCCGGTGGTGATATCTAATCAAGTAACATTTATCTGTAATATTTATCTGCTTTTTTTAAATTTATTATGAAATTAAATATTGGAACTGTATCTGGCATTCCTTTCCTGTAAAGTTCATATTTTTGTGGATATTTTGTATTTGTTACTGCATAAAATTCGGTTTACAGAGTTTATTTAATGGAGTTGATCTCTATGGCAATTTATCCTTCTAATTTTAATTTTGTGGTTTAATCTGATTTAAAATTTTTTGCCAACCTCCAATATTTTTATTTGTAAGCAAATAATCTAACCAAAATACATTATTTTTTAACTAATAATTATTTACTTGCAAAAATATTTTTTCTTAATTTTTATTTTTATATTTTATTTTAAATAAAGTTAATCAATTATTGAATATATTTATCATTATAATAAATTTAGAAGATACTTACTTTACACCTGCTTAGATGCCAAAATAAAAATCTAAAAAAAATAAAAATTTAAAATTATTCTCGAATTTTAAATATACTTATTTGTTCAGCAATAAATATATAATTTTGCTTTTGCCAAATTCTTTCTCTCTTTTTATTTTTCTAAAATTATTGGTTAATGAATTTTAAATTCAGAACCCCTCGTTACTCTTCTTCTTTCTTCAATTTTTGGTAAAATTAAAATTGGAATTTTAAATCTAATATCGTATTTATTTTAATTAAATGGCCTCTCCAAACTTTTGCTTCTGACTGTCTCTCTCATCGCTTTTTTAATTTAATGTAAATATTTTTATTTTACATTTATTTTTAAAAAATAATTTGAAAAATTTGTTTATATATTTTTTTTATTTGTTTCATTTATAATTAAAAGATTTAATTATTTTATTAATTTTAAGGGTCTGATTTTTTAAAATTATTTTGAATGTTATTAATTATTAAGGGCTTTGCCCTCTTTTTATTAATATTTTTAAATGTTAACTTAATTGAATCAAAATGTTCTTGGAATGTTAGTTTAATTTAAATAATTTTAAATTAGTTGTGGGGGTATGTATGTATCTTTGGATCCTTCTAATTTCCTAAAAAATCTTATTTTTTAATTTTTATTTTATTAAACATATACATAAATGTATTGGTGATTTAGGATGTTAACTTTTTCATTCGTCAGATTTTCTTAAAAATTTTTACTACTTTAGTAAAATTTTTTTAATAATTTTACTATTAATTTTTTATTTTTTAAATATTTTTAATACTAGTTTTTTTCATTGAATACTAGTTTCAAATTAGTTTTTAATTATTTTTTCATTTAAATTAATTAAGAATTGCCCTAAATGGTCAACTAATTCATCTGTAATTAATGTACATTTAATTTGTCATTCGTAAGGAATTAATTAAGGATAAGATTTAAAAATATATACTAGACATGATGATATGGGTTGGTTAAAAACTGTTGATGATTATTATACTGGAGGTATTTTTAAAAAAAATTTAAAAATAAAACAATTTAAAAGCAAATCCTTCAATATTTAATGTCGGTGTTCAATATATATTAAGTACTGTAGTAGCAGCTTTAAATAAAAATCCCTCTCGTCGGTTTTCTTATGCAGAAACTGGGTTTTTAACTATGTGGTTAGAAGATAAATATTCGGAGGAAATTGAAAATATGAGAAAATTAATTGTTGAAAAGGGTAATTTTATTTATTTTAAATTTTAGAATTTTAATAATCAAAAGTATTTTTAGGCCAATTAGAATTAATTGGAGGTATTTATTTTGAATAAACAAAAATTAAGTCCTTATTAAAAAAACAAAAAATAAAGTCCTTATTATTTTCTTTAAAACAGAGGCTTTTTTAAACTTTATTTATTTTGTTACTATCAATCACTTAAACAACCCTATTTAATTTTCTACAAATTTTTAGAAATCCATTGTAGCCTTATTTATGCGTGGGGGACTTTATTCCAATTATTTTTTAATAAAAAATAATTTTTAAATCAAATAAAGGTGGTTGGACACAGCCAGACGAGGCATGTACTCACTATTATGAATTAATTGATCAATATAGTTTGGGATTGAGAAAATTAGCAAATAAATATGGTTAATTAAAAATTAGACAAAAATATATAAATTTACAGGAAATTGTGGAGTCCCAAAAGTTGCCTGGCAAATAGATCCTTTTGGGCATAGTAGTGAACATGGAAATATGTTAATTAATGTAAATATAAATATTTAATTTAAATTAATTAATTTAAAAAAAGATTGGTTATGAAGCCCTTTTCTTTTCTCGAATGCATTATTTGGAATTAGAAAACAGAATAAAAAATAAAAGTTTGGAAATGTTATGGCAGACAGATGAAAATGGTAATTGATAAATTTAAGCTAAATAGAGACCGGACCGAGACGAGATCTCGATCAAAAATCTCGGTTATCGAGAATCAAGATTTTTCGAGATCTGCATTCTCGTACGACGCTCCAATTCCGGTCTCTAATATTAAACATATATTTTTTTGAATTTGATGTCTTTACGTTATTAACTTTTTTAAATAAGAAGACAATAATATAAATTTTTAAAGGAATTAAATTTAAATTATCTTCAAAAATTAATATTTTAATTAAAGGAGATGCTACAAGGCCTTTATTTACGAGTACCTTTTTTAAAGTTCCTCAAGGATTTTGTTTTGACCCTACTTGTCCTTACCCAGATTTTATAATAGACAATCCAGAATTGGAAGGATACAATATTGACCAAAAATTAAATGATTTTTTAAATATTGTTAATGAACAAGTTAAAGTCCAAAGACATAATCATGTTTTAATTTCAATGGGTGGGAATTTTACATATTCAAATGCTGAACTTTGGTTTAATAATCTCGATAAATTAATTTTGGCTGGGAATAAAAAAGTAAATATTTGATTTAAAAATTATTTTGGCTCGCGGAATAATTTATGAAATTTTTTTATTTATATGATCAGACAAAGGTAAAACTTAAGTAAATAGGTGCTGATAATATAGTAAAGCCTGTGTTGAGTAGGGAAAGAATTAATACTGTTGGATCTGATAGGTTGAGTAAGGTAGTAGGGGACCCAATAGGCGATGCAAGGCAAGTATAGGTGTGGAATGAAGATCTGATCATTCCCCTCCCTTCTTTCATCTTTGCCTAGCAAGAGATAAAGGGAAACTTAAAATTATACAAGTTTAGAAAAGACAATATTTAACAAAAATAATATTTTTTCTAATAATTTTTATTTTATTAAAAGAAAAACATTACAAATGTAAATATATTTTATTCAACCCCAACTTGTTACATAAAAGCTTTAGAACAAACAACAAAACCAAACTTTCCAAAAAGAGATGGAGATTTCTTTCCTTATGCAGATCAACCTGATAGGTATTGGACTGGTTATTTTACTAGTAAACCGTCATTAAAAGGATTAACTAGAAAGTCATCTTCTTTACTTCAAGTAATTTTTAAATTATTTTTTTATACATGCCAGGGCTGGAGAATTTTGAATTTTAAAAGGCGGACGGAAGAAACGGAGGAATATTAAAAAAACGGCTTTCCTATCCACCTAAAATAACCCCTCTTAATTACCCCACCTCTATCAATTACCCTCTCCAGAGAGAGGTCAAAACAATAATTACCTAGGGTAATTAATAAAGTATATACGGTAATTAATCTTTAAGAAAACTTTTTAAAATATTTCTAAACAATCCATTTTTAAGGTAACGAGAGCATTATATACACTAATGAAAGCTAAAACTAAATTAAATTCTGATAATTTAAAAATGGAATTATTTGAACGTTCTATAGCTTTAACAACACATCATGATGCTATAACGTTAATAATTTAAAATTAAAAAATTTAAAAAATTTTTTTAGTGGGACATCAAAAGAATTAGTAACTAAAAATTATATGAAACGTCTTTTACAGGGTAGGGATGCTGCTGAAGTAAAAAATAAATTTTAAAAAATAAAAAAATTTTTTTGATTTAAAGATAATATTAACAAATACTTTGGCTTTTTTAACGAAAAAAGAAGAAAATAAAATTAATAAAAATAAAACTTTAAATGTTTTCCCAACACAAAAATTATGTAGACGATTAAATGAAAGTTATTGCCCAGAAAGCATGTAAGTTTTGAACAAGGGTCGGATTACCCAATTCCCCTATACTTTTACGACCGATCCAAAGAAAATTTTGTAAACCCCAGCCAAAACCCAACTTTATTTTCAACCTAGCCCATCCATGGAATGAAAATAAATGTTTAAAGAATATTTAATTACTATATGTGTTTTTAACTGAAGACTAAATAATTCAAAATTATTTTCCCTTTTCGAACAATTTGCTAAATTTTGTTTAATTCTCATAAAAATATTTTGAATATAATTAAAGCCCCACAAAAATATATTTTTAATTTTCTATTCAAAAAATCCAATTTTAGGGGAACAGACAGCTTTACAGTAACAATTTTAAATGGAAATTCAAAACAATTTTCTGGCTATATCCGTATTCCAGTAAATAATCAAAATATTCAAATTTTATCAAATAATGGACAACAAATTGATTTTAGAGTATTTTTTAATTTTGAAAAAATTTTTCTTTAATTTTTCAAGTTAATTCCTTTATTTATATCACCACAATCTCAAAAAATAAATCAATCCAAATATGAATTAATATTTAAAGCAGATGTCGGGCCTGTTGGATTTACTACTTTTTTTGTTATTATAAACGAGTAAAGAAAAATAAATTAAAAAAATAAAAATAATTTTATTAAAAGTCCTTTATTACCCTCAAATCAAACACAAAATCAGCCAAATATTACAAAAAGTATCCCCGATTTGCCTCAAAATTCACAAAAATCTACACCAAACAATCAATTATCTACCACGAAATTACCAAATACTCCTTCTATTTCACCAATTTTATCAAATAAAACAAATGGATTAATTGAAAATAAAGTAAATATAAATTTATGTGTAGAGTTGCCAATTTTAAACCAAAAATTTTCGGTTCGATCTCAGTTAGCCAAAAATTTGTTGAAACCGATAACCCTATTTATGAGACGCAAAATCTGATCTATCTTGAGGACGGTTTTTGTGCACCTCTCTTTTTACGGATCTTTCCCTGAGTTTACGTCCTACAGTTTGTCCGAAAATATAATAAAAATTTAAAATGAGAAATAGAATATGTATTTGAGAATTCGGTCCAGGGCTCGGTGGCGGACATCGGGCCGAAAATGTTATGTCGGAACATTTAATGTCCTTTATCTAAAAAAGTCTGCAAAAATTTTTTAGAGCTTTAATAATTAAAAAAAAATATTTTTCAAAGTATATTCGTCTTAATTTTAATGAAAATGGCCTAATAGAATCTTTAGAAGATTTAACTAGAGAAAATGCTAATTTTAAATTTACACAAGAATTTCTTTATTATGAAGGGTTAACATCTGGAGCTTATATTTTTGGGTGATTTTAAATTAGAAAATATTTTTATATTGAAAGTTTTTAGGGCAAATTCAGATTTAGAACCAATACCATTTAACGAAACTACAAAAACTGAATTTATTAAAGTAAATTTAAATATATTTTTGTTAAAGTAGTTTATTTAGAGAAATTTTTAGAAATTATATTTATAGGGAATTTGTATATTACTACCCATCCCTTAAAATCTCGTCAGTATCCCATTTAAAACTTCAAAAAAGTCATCCTCTCTATTTCCATTTAACTATGTATAATTAATTAATTAATTTAGAATGATTTTGTACAAGAAGCAAGACAAATTATTAGTCCTTGGGTTAGTCAAATAATTCGGTTATTTGAAGATAAAAAATATATTGAATTTGAATTTCTTGTTGGACCAATTTCAATAGAGTTAACATTTCTTCTTTTTTTATTTATTTAAAATTAATTTAAAGAGAATTTAAATCAAAAGAAATAATTACAAGATATTCAATGCCAGAAATTAATTCAAGCGGTATTTTTTGGACAGATTCTAATGGACGTAGAAATATTCAAAGAAAGTAACTGAATACTTTAATTACTTAAATTTTTTTCTCTTTTTAAAGAAGAAATTTCAATAAATATTTTAATTTGGGAGAAAATATAAAATATCCATCAAGTGCCAATTATTACCCAATTACTAGCCGAATTGGGTTATCTGACAATTTAAATCAAATGAGTATATTAACTGATCGTTCACAAGGAGGGACTAGTTTAAATGATGGACAGATTGAAATTATGGTTTTTTTGGAATAATAATTAAAGAATTCTAAATTAAAGGTACATCGTCGTTGTGTTATGGATGATAGGTTGGGTGTTGAGGAAATTTTGAATGAACCGGCAAGTTGAATATTAATAACCCTTATCTAATATGTTTCTTTAATTGACCTCTTTGATAAGCCATTAAAGAATAAAATATCTCCTGAATAATCCCTCAAGAATTGAAATTAGAATGGCATCGAGTTCTATTGTCAATAATATAATTTTTCAGACACTCAGGCTATAAAATACGTTCAAATATTTGATAATTATCGCTCCTAAGAGACATAATTATCAGAGTCGAGATATACCTAAATTTATTTTAATATGTATTGGAACCCTATAAAATCCTCCCATTGAAATTAAATTATGAAATATAATATTTAAAGTTAAATTATTATTATGTAGATAGAATATGTACATGTAGGTATAAATTTAACTCCATTTTTTAGGGCGAAGATGGAAATGGTTTAATTATTCGTGCCAAACATTGGCTACATTTTGGACCTAAAACAGAAGAACCTTCTTTAAATAGAATATTAGGCCTTCAACTCTTCCATGAACCAACACTCCTTTTTTCTAAATTTTTTGGAGAATTTAATGATTACAATAATAAATATTTAACTAATGTTTTTACTAAAATATTTAACAAAAAATATTTTTGTTTAAATTTTAGTTTTCAGCTCTCAATTTTGATTTACCTCCAAATATTAATTTACTTACATTTAAACATATTGGGAATAAACAAATATTAATTCGTTTAGAACATATATTCCAAACAGGAGAAGATGCTAATTTAAGTAATCCAATTTATTTAAATTTACAGGTAAATTTTGAAATATTTTAAAGAAAAAATAATTTTTAAAGACAATTTTTAAAAATCTTCGATTTCAAAAAATAAAAGAATTAATGCTTGCTGGAAATATAGTATTCAATGAAGTTGTTGATGCCGAGAATGTTAAGTTAAAACCTATGGAAATTAGAACCTTTATGCTTACTACATAAAAGAATGGGAGTTGTATGGGAATTACTATGTTTAAAAAAATAAATTTTTTCTAAATTTTGGAAATTTTATGAAAATAGAGATTGGCTTAGTTTAAGTATAAACATTAAAAGCATGAAAAATTAAGTTTAAGTTTTGTATCAATTTGCTATATCTCTATATTCGTTTATTATTAACTTTTTATTTCTTCCATTCCGATGGTGATTTTATCAAATCAAAGAATTTTTTTCTAATTTTTCTGCTTTATTTAAATTTTTCTTTATCTAATAATAACTAACTGATTTATTCCTAATCGGCAGTATTTCTTCAAAAAATAAATTTATACATATTTTTTGGTAAGATTTTATTGAGAAAGATGAATGACCACTAATTTATTCACTTATTATTTTTACTCATCGATACTATTAACTTGCGGAGACGAAGAAAATATGCACTGGGGAGGCTAAAATTTCCTATATAATATCTATTTTAAGTTGTTCTTAGTTTTACTATTTTTTCTAATATATTCTTGCAAAATGACAATTAATTAGTCAATATTTATTAATAACGTTTATATATCTCCTTTAAAATACATAAGATAATATTTTTTGGGTATTCCATTAAAATTTTTCTTCAATTTTAAGATAAAATTTAAAAATAATTTAATGATTAAGGTTCAGAATAAACTTATAACTTTCAATTTTCCTTAAATACTTAATTGAGTAAATTATATGAAAATCAGTGCAATTGATCAATCTAATAGGCCCTTTTGTATTTTCTCCACGTAAAAGTTTTGTACAATTTTTAACATCTAGGACATGTCGAGTAAATAGATAAATTAACTAATCAAAACTTTGTCCAAACCCATTTAATTATCCAGATCGATTCAGCTCGCCGAGATGAATCAAAATAAATTTAATTATTAATTTCCATTACTTACAGTTTTTCCAAAATATTTTTAAATAATGTTTAATTCACTTCCAATTGAAATAAAACTAGATTTATTAAAATGTCTCAATTTTGATCAATTATTTAATTTTCGACAAACAAATTTTTATTTTAATGAATTTATAAATAAAAATGAGGAAATTTTGGCACGAAAAGAATTTTATTCAATTAGAATTGTAAATTTTATAATAATTTTTTTGGTTTATTTACCAAATTTTTATTTTTTAGGAAAGGTATTGGGATGGAAGAGAATATACTCCAATAGGGGATAAAGTTATCGAATTAGATTTTAAATTTGGTTATTCTTTGGATTATAAATTGGATGAACAACTTATTGGGAAGGTAAACTATAATGAATTATTAAACATTTTTTAATGAGTAGAAGGGGAAACAAATTAAACAGCAAAAAAATCGCTTGCCAAACGTTAAAATTTTTTTTAAATACTTGAAGAATAGATTGTTTTGATAAAAGATTTTTCTTTAAAAATGATTTTTTAGTGGCAATCTTCACTTAATCAACGTCAACATCTTTATTTTGGTGAACTAATATCTAGACCACAATTTAAAGATAATTTAGTTATTACAATACATCAACGTAAAGAAATTTTGAATTTTTTCAAATTTTAATCTTTTTAGGTACCAAGGATAAAAAATATTTTTTTCGTTACTTAAAATTACCATTATGCCCTAAAAATATGGAAGAAATGAAAATTGCTCGTTATTTTTTGGAACAAATTTTTCGTTGTTATTTTCATTTTATTGACTTTGGACTCTATATATTTTTTCCGGAAATGATTAAATTACTTTTTGAAAATGATAAGACAACAAAATTAAAATTTAATGGTCAAAAAGCTACTTTATATTATTATGAGCAAATTAATCCTTTGGATTTTGCTTTGAATCATTTAGTAATTAATGAACTTTTCATTAGTTTTCTTAAATATAAAGAAGCTAAAAATGAAGATTATAATAAAAGTTTAATAAATTTTTTAATGAATGAAGGTGCTAGATTTACAAAAATTAAATGGGATTTCTATAAAATTAAAGGACTTTTCTATTCACTTATTAAAGTAAGTTTGGAAGTAGGCTATAATACTATTCAAAAAAGGCTATAATATGTATTGAATTTCATTTCGATCAAAACACCCTCGCTACTTCCTCCCATCCAGAGGTGGGTCGGAACAGTCAGAGGTGTCGGAAATCGGAAGAGTAGGAAATCGGAACTGGCTCAAATGAGGAAATCGGAAATCAAAATTTTTTTCGGAAATCGGAAGGAAAAAAACGTCGGAAATCGGAATTCCGACCCACCTTCGCTCCCATCTCTGGTATTTGTTTCACCATAATCCTCTTTGGATCCCTTATTTGTAGACTCAGATTTTGACCCTTTAACTTGTATCAGTCAATTAATATTTAAATTTAGCAAATAGAAACTTCAACAAATTGTTTAAATATTGTGGCCAACATTGAAGTTCACGCATCTGAATCGTTTGATATTGATTTGAATGTCAGAGCAAAAAATAAAACCAAAAATGGAGAAATTACGAGTTTTGAACTTGACAATATTTACAATCCAGAAGTTACCTTCCTTGTTAAACATTGGGAACGAGAAGAAGGAAAAGTTTATCAGTTTCAAATTGAGCGAATAAATGAATAATATACCAAAAATTTGAAGATATATGCTTTGAGGGGAGATTTCAAATAATTACTCCCCTCTCTTAAACCTCTCCTTATAAACGTTAAAAATTACCAGGGTTAATTAATTTAGCATACACTGCCTATTAATTAAAGTCGGATCTCTCAAGTACAAACTAGGGGTGTATCGAAAAAAATTTTAAAAAGTAAAACGTGAAAGGCGAAAGCTGGACGTAGTACACCCCCTGTATATTCGCATTTGAGTGCGAATATACAGGGGATGATCTATATTTTCTAATTTATTTGCCACAGGGATCCGACAATTTTTAATTTATTTACTTTATTAAGCTTTTTTCTATCGATAAAGAATTTAATTTCTGATAAATTATTTTTAATTTAAATGTAATTTAAAGAAAGAGATGTAAAAATTTTGGATCTAGTTTGAAAATTAATAAGATAAATAATTGTGGATAATATGTTTTAAAGTGTTCGTATTTTCGAAAATTAGTTTAAAAACTTTTGCCAACAATTTTGTATTAAAATTACCACAAAATTAATCACTTAAAAAATTAATTATCTTCTTCTTTTTGTTTATCAATTTCTTTTTCTTCTTTTATTATATTCATCATATTATTATTATTCATTTCTAAAGCCCATTTTCTTGGATTAGATTTGGCAAATAAAATAAAAACAGTTATTGCAGTAAATACAAGTATAGAAATTGTTGAAAATATATATGTCCACTTTAAATTTTAATTTAGATTTATTAAAATTACCTAATTATCAAAGGTGGGTCGGAACAGTCAGAGGTGTCGGAAATCGGAAGAGCCGGAAATCGGAACTGGCTCAAAAGTCGGAACTCGGAAATCAGAATTTTTTTCGGAAATCGTAATTCCGACCCACCTCTGCTATTTATTTACTTGTTTAATTGTATCATCTGGTGCTGCGGCAGCAACAATTCCTGGAAGTATGAGGGGGACAATGCTTATTACCATATTAGTCCAAGAAATAAGAACTTCTGAATGTTTAAGAGCTATCTAGAAATTAATTAAAAATATATTTCTATTTCCTTCAGCTCTAAGGGAGTTAAAATTTAAATTACAAATTGTGCATATCGAAATATTCCAAGAAAATCAAGTCCAGTGAACATATTAATTGTTGAATAAAATGGCAAAATAAACAAAATTGAAGAAGTTAAATAAGGAATAAATGCTAAACCGAGCAGTGAAATACAAATACCATACTTTAAATTATTTATAATTAAAGATTTTTAATAGGGTTGGACATGACCGGTTTTAAAACATTGCTAAAAATTAACCAATTTTATTAAATTTTAAAAACCGGAAGTTTATGAAAATGAGTGGCTTTTTAAGAAGTCCCTCCGAAATATTATCGGAGTTTAACTAAAACTCAAAACCGAAAACCGGATAGTAATGGTTAACAATTTGTGTCCAACCCTAATTTTTTATTTAAAAATTACTTGAGCTACTCCAGAAAATAATTTAACTTTAGATTGTTCACTTAATATTTTTGAGATTAATTTATCATCAAGAGGACCAATTAATAATTTTGAAAACATTCCAACTAACGGAGGAAGTGCAGAAACTAAGCCTGTTTCAGTAACGGATATTCTGAGAACCTTAAACCATTTAAATATAAAGCATAGTCTTATAATATGCACATTATAAGATACACCTTGGGGGTTTATATGATATATGAAGCATATATTAAATTGGGAATATGGATCACATAGACAGCCCCTCCCACCCACTAAGGTGGTGGATCCTTGAGAATTTCCGAATATCCGGATCCGACATCCAGACCGAAAATTTCCGGATATCTGGCCTTTTTTCGGATCCTGTTATCCGGATCCGTCAATCTTATCCTACACACTAACAAGGGTAGATCCTTGAAAATTTACGGATATCCGGACTTTTTTTGGATCCGGATCCACCAACTCTCTCTTTGCACCCGTTGCCGATCGAATTAAAAATAATTTTAAATTGAGGTGTATCTAATAATGAGCGTGTATCTAGTAATGAGGTGTATCTAATAATGAGCATACTATCATGTATTTATTTTACTTTATTTAAATAATATGGCCCCATTTCTAATAAAAATTGAAAGGCAATTTCACTGCAAAAAAATGTTACAAATAACAACCAAGTTGTCCAGTCAGTTAACATTTTATAATATGGAGCTTTTTGTTTTTTGTTGTTTTCTTTATTTTCTTTTTCAGCTTTACCAAATTCAATTTCTTTTAATTCAATTTCAGATATCCATCTAGAAAAATAAATTTATTTTTTAATTTTTAAAAATAAAATTTACGGATGTTCAGAAGGACAATCACGAAAAATAAAAAAGAAAATAATTGTAAATATTAAAGTTAATGTAAACATTGTATAATATACTCCTTCCCATCCAAAATTACTTTCACAAAAATATCCAGCTGTAGGCATTGTAAATAATTGACCAAACTATTTTTTAAAAATAATTTATCAAGATCAAAAATGAAGATAAATTGTAAGACTTGGATTGCGTTGACAAAAAAATTTTCTGAAGCCGAGGACAACCCTATATACTAGGGGAGTATTCAAATAACCTTTTAACCCAAATAAGGTTTTTATGTAGGGTAGGGTTGTTCTCCGACATGGGGAGGGCCACGGGCAGTGATGGGAAAGTTCCAAAATTTCTCTGGAACCGGTTCCAGTTCTGTAACTGCTTTTTGAAAAATGTCTCAAATTCCCCGACTTTCCGGTACGGGGGAGTATCAGGGGTTATTTGTAAAAATAACATCTTTCCCAAGTAAAATTTAAAATATTTTATAAATTCACTTGAAAATGTATAGAAGTTAAAATTAAAAAAGTAGCCGTAGATGTAACAGGCGCCCATTTACGTGAAACTATTGAAACAACAACATATTGAGCTGCAAAACATGTACCCTATTTTTTTAAAGTAAAATTAAATTAAAGCTTTTTATTTTACTTGAATTATTCGCATTAAATAGATAGACCAAAAACCAAAAATCTTGTCTCCAATAGGAATACCTAAAGTAGACAATGCAGACATTATACAAAAGCCAGTTATTGTATGTCTAGAAAATAATTACAAAATTATAAATTGTTAAAAGATTTTCTTCGAACCTAACAGAAAATAGTTCAATTAAAGGAGAGATGATTAAACTTCCAATAATTGACCCTATAGCAGGTCCAGAAAATAAAAGAGAACGCTCAATTGCTGAAAATTCATTTTCATCATTTTCTTCTTGGCTGCCTGGAAATTAAAAAGAATTTCGTCTCTGGAGCTAAAAATTTTCTTCTGATTCTTCAAAATTTTCTAACAAATCTTCCGAAAAATTTGCCAGACCCTCGCACCCCCCGGGGGAGATGTTATTTATGTAACTAACTCAGAAAGGGACTATTTTAGTGTAAATATATATTTATTACCATATTTATTTAAAGAAATATTAAAATCATTTATTAATTCAGTTTTTACTGGATTCATACAAATTATTGTGAAATTTAATAATAAACAATTTGAAAATATTAGTGCCATACAAATAATTGAAATAGTTAAAATTAAATAACGAATTTTTAAAATATTAGAGAATTTGACTTGAATAGACATATTGATGTATGTATTAAATATTTTTCTTAAAAATTTTAAATAATTTTATGAATATGCATGAATTTTTTGGTTTTACTTATCAGTCTTAATAATAATGTTCAATGAATAATTATTAATAATATCCGAACCAAAATTATTAATTAAAAATTTATAATAATTCAATTAAAGGAGAGATGATAAGACTACCAATAATTGCCCCTATAGCTGTTTTTTTATAAATAAAAAAATACTTTGATAATTAGTGCCTGGATTTTTAAAAATTGTTGTCTATTGGTTAATAGATTTTATACCTAGAATTTTTTTATTTGAAATATGTCATCAGAAAATGAAATTTTTAAAAATATTATTTAAATATATAAGTATGTAATAATATTTAAATAGTAAATATAATATTAAAAAAAATTTTTAGTATAATTTTTGAAGGAAGATTTACATATTTTTGTTAAATTACAATTTTTAACAATATTGTTAAAAATTATATATTTAGTCAAAAATTATTTTTGCAAAAATAAAAGATCATAAAATGTACCTATTTGTATTATAACAATAAAATAAACAAATATTGATAGGCAAGTAGGGCCTAGGTTTTTAAAAATTATTATCACTACTTAAATAAGAAGTCTGCTTATGATACTAAATGAAAACAGACTTCGGCTATAACAGAAATAAATTAGCCAAAATATGTATTAACGAGAAATCCCCAAAACTAGTAACGAGAAATGTCCTTTTGGGTAGAACTTATCTTAACTATCAATTTTTCAATATTTTAATAAAAAATGCAAATCAAAAGCATGCCCATGTGCCAGGTATCACGCACGGTTTTCGGCTAAAATGCATACATTTGTAACCTCGTCTAAAATACATTCGAAACGAAAATATGGAGATTCGATAGAATAAATACAAGAATCAACCTCGAATCCCGACCTTTTTTTACTAAAACTCCGATGCCGATGAATCAACATAGAAAAACTTCGACACCGATAATTTTAGCCAGAAATTTCAGAAAAGTTAGAGATTTATAATTTCTTTAATATCCCTCAAAATAACTGGGTGGTTATGTGGTAAGTCCCTAGTTAAAATTATTTTTTAATGCTTTAATCTTCTGTGCAAACTAATATAAAAACAAGACTAACACTAATAAACCTTCAATTCTGGTTTCGTAATTTTTAAATATGTATCTAACAACCGTGAATTTACCCGTTTGTTTTAGAGTTAAAAAAATTATTAAACTTAAAATAAAAATGAGATTTTTTTATTTTTCTTAGATATTAAACAAAAACAAAACAAAGATTTTGAATTAATAAAATTTAAAAAAAATTTGGGGAAAAGGTTTATTAAAATCAGAAATTCTTCGGTTTTAGACCCACGTTTTTTCTTGTTTCCCTTTGTGGCATCAATTTTCTTTTTATGGTAATATAACATCAGAAGAGCTCTTTGAGCCGAGTCGAATCAAAATAAAATCTATGAAATCTAAAACCGAAGAATTAACTTAAATTCGATTAATATGAAAACTTGTAATATAATCTGTATCTAAAGGATGGCAATGAAGTATTACAAATTTAATTTTAGAATTTAAAATATTTTCAATTTCATATTTTACAAAATTACAATTCCTTCCTTCTACTTTTAACAATTCCTTTTCTATATTTTTGGCTCTCTTTGGCAAATCAGTACGAAACCATTTAATATAAGGAAAACTAATATTAGAGACCATATTTGAGCAATTTGAAGTTTCTACATTCTAAAAAGTTAAATTTAAAAATATAAATGTCTAACAAGGGAACATTCCGAACTACCACCAAAAATTTTGTAACGAAACATATACCATTGTGTAGAGCAGGGTCGATTATAACTTTTCGAAATGGGGGTCAGGGCCAAAAAAGAAAAAATAGGTAATCGGTTTTCGACCATGCTCTAACGATGGTATAATTTTTATTTGAAAATTTTTGGTGGTAGTTCGGTATGGTTCCTTGTAAGCTAAATTTGATACCAGAAGATCGGAAATAATAGACAAATATTTAATTAACTCTTCTCTTTCCTTCAATATTTAACAAGATCGTTATAATCCTTACAACTAGGGTACCCAACAGATCGATCGGAATTCCGACGTTTTTTCCTTACGATTTCCGAAATTTTGGAAAAAGTTCCGATAATTTTTGAAGTAAATTTCCGACTAAAGATTTTCCAAAATTCTCAAAATTTGCGCAAAAATGGACCCTTCGTCATTTCCGATCGATCTCTGGTACCCAACAATGAGGGAAAATATCTCATTGAGCCACGATGTTACACTATTTTAACGAATCAAGATTTTATACGAACTGATCTAGTACTCAACCTTAATTTGGAATAGCTTGGAATTTAGATATTCTCTGAGGAAAAATTTTAATTTTGAGGAAATGGCCGTCCTTGTGGGGGAAACTTTTTCCCCCATTCCATTTTTTGTCCTTTATTCATAATTATATAAAAATTTTCAATTTAATTTACTTACCCTAATTATTAAATCAAAAATTTCCGAATCAATAGAAGAATTTTGAGGAGCCCCAGAAAACATTGGTTCCAAAAAAGAAGTACCAAAAAATAATTTTTTCTGTGTTGTTTTAAATCCATTGATCAAAATCCTATTAAATTTCCTTCCTTCATTTAAAATTAAATTTAAAATAATTTCTTTATATTGAGTAAAATTGTTTGTTCCGTCAAATTCAATCTTTAAAAATTCATTAATTGCCAAATTATTTAAAATAAAATTTAAAGCCTCATTTTCGTAATTTGGATTGGAATAGCAAATTAGGGCTTTGTTGATATTTAGGAGATTATTTAAATTTTTTTCTTCTTTTTTAAAAAATAATAATTCAATTAATTTTGGATTAAATATAACACAATTAAATTCGGCATTCTCAAAGGAACACAAAAATAATTTTTCTAACCAAAAACGAATAATTTTCATTTCTTTAATATTTTTGGGGTATAAAGGCAATTTTAGAAGAAAAAATGAAAAAGAATCTGAAAAATAAAAAAAATTTAAATTTTTAAATTTTCTTTACCTTCTTCCATTAAACGAATAACTATATTCTGTGTACAATGTTTTAACCTTTCAGTACACAAATACAAAGGGATCTGCCTATCTTCTATAGATTGCCACTAAAAATTTTTTGAATTATTTTTTTGATTATTTAGAGTTACAGTAATACTTTGGTTGGAATTAGAGCCCGGCACGGGACCCCGTACGGAATTTTACGGGATCCCGTCCCGGAATCCCAGGTTTTTAGTGACAAACGGGATTACCGGGATTTACGGGATTCCCGCGGGATCCCGTCCCGTACAACATTTTTAAAAAAATCCTGTTAAGGAATCCCGAGAATGCGATTTTGCCGACCTCTAGTTGGAATCCCCCTCCTTTTTTACTTATTGTTTCCTTGACCATTTTGAGCTTTTTTGCTTAAATGGAGTATTTAATTAAACCAAAAAATTTTTCGTGAAATCGATTTTTAGCTGAGAAAATAGGTGATTTTCATTTCACTTGCGTTTGTCCCTATCTTTTTGTCGACTACTTTATTACAAAATTTACTTTTTCCAAAATTTCTTCATCCAATTTAATTTCACTCGAACCTAACTCAATTTTTTTACACAATTTTGAACATTCGTTGAGATTAACCTAAAAATAAAAAATTTTAGAAAATTTATTTAAAAAACTAAGGATATGTGGCTAAATTTTTGTTTTGACAGTATTCCAATATATCGATCAATCAAGGCTTTAAAATGGATATTTGTTTGTTGAAAGGATATTAATTGATTAAAATTTAGGAATTTTAAAATATCAAGTTTTTCTTCAACAAGAAGATTATAGTACATTAATTTTATCTTCCTAAAATATTAAAAAATTGACTTTGATTTTAAATAAAATGAAAAAATAAATAAAAATTTTTAGTTTATGGGGCACCGCAGACTAGCGCAGGCAAAAAAGGGAAATAGAGCGAAATTGATATTTTGGCTAAGTGGATAAGAGCGCTGACTACAAAATCGTCTAAAAATGGGTCTCGGGTTCGAACCTTTTCATCGTTAATTAATATTTTCTAATTAAATAAATAAAATAAAACATCAAAAAAGGGCGCGCCGAAATTTGCGGATTTTAATTTGCGGACCCGAACTTTGCGGACCCGTATTTTGCGGACCCGAACTATGCGGACCCGAATTTTGCGGATCTGAGATTTGCGGACCAAAAATATGCGGACCGACAATAGAGTCTACTGAACCTCGGAAACTTCAAAAATTTTAGCCTGCGGCGTTAATTGGATGAATTCAAGCATCATGACCTTATGAAATGGCCATATAAATGATTTCTTTAAGGAATTTTCTCGATTATTTAAATTATGAAATAATTTTTAGATAAAAAATTGATAAAAATTTTGAAAAATTAAGAAAAAATCTTGAATCCTGTACGGATCGTGGTAAATTCTGCCGGAATCTTCGAAAAATAAAATTTTTAATTTTTCCTATTTACTCAAATGTCGGTCCTAAAATCTTGGTTCCGCAAAGATCAGGTCCGCAAACTTCGTGTCCGCAACCTTCGGGTCCGCAACTTTCGTTCCGCAAATTTCGGGTCCGCAAAGTTCGGGTCCGCAAAATTCGGGTCCGCAAAGTTCGCGCCACGCAAAAAAGCATTTTAAATCTTTTATGCTAACACTAAAAATAGTGAAAGACTGAAACAGGGACCAGACTGAAATGGTCAGACCTGAATACTCCTCTTGGAATTTTTTTTGTTGTCGAATTTATTAGAAAGGGGCTTTAGGATTTTCGTTTTTTACATTTTTGCATTTTCTAGAATTAATTCTCCAATATTTTTAGCAAAAAATAAAAAAAATTCCTCAAAACAAACAAAATGCCTTACCCAGCAATTTGGACAAGATCACAACGGGGTCAATTGTCTGCAGATTATGAAAGTGTTGCTTTTCCTGGCAACACGTTTATTTTCCTTCATAAACGAAGAACTCAACATTGTTCCTATTTTCGATGCGCATATTGTGCAAAAGCGTTAAAGGTGTTTAAAGAAATTTTTTTAATTTTTCAAGCATTTATTTTAAAGCTTCGGATCAAGCGTAACGCAACAAGATTAACAATACCTATAGTTCGAGCTTCTCTCGAAGAAGGATTTTTGGATGATCCAGACAATCCATTTCACCGGCATTTTTGTATTGATGAAAAAGAAGTTGATACAACAACATATGCAGCTAAGGCTAGATATATTTACAAGTTGGAGATTTTTCTTTAAAAAATAAATTTTTCCTTAATTCTTAAAGTAAAGTAAAATTGGAATTGTTGGATATGCCAATGACGCCTCGTCAGGCTTGGCTTCAAATGGAAGCTGAAGTTATTGCCAATTTTCCTGATACTCTGACACAGCAGGAAATTATTCGTCGTTTACCAACGTAAGTACAAAAAATTATGAAATAATTTTTAAAAATTTTGATTAAATCAAAATGGCTGGTTAATTCATAGGGAATTTTAAGTCACGTAATTAACTTTTTTTTGGTCTAAAATTTTAAATACTTATTTACTGTTTAAGTTTGAATTATTTATTTTTCTATTCTTTACATGAGATTGAACGAAGGGAGCAGGCCAAGGTACCGCAGCGCTATAACTTCGTTCAACATGTCGAATCCGGGACGCCCTGTTATGGTTCTATTCAGCTCGTTAAGGTGCATCGAACCGTACCAGAACGCCCCGGATTCGACAATTCTGAACGAAGTTACAGCTCTGCGGTACCTTGTGGTGTACCCTTGAACGAATATTTTTCTTTTGCTAAATTGATAATATAATTTGTCAAAAAATTTTTGTCTCTTCTTCCCTTCCCTTTCATTATCTAAATAGGTATTTTTTATTTAAAAATAAATTTTAGTGATAAATCAGCAAAAAGAAGTTTTGCTAGGCGTAGCTCTATTGGGAAGCGGAATTTGGTTGAAGACCTTGCAATTTTTGGAAAGGATTATAAAGAACCTGTAGATGATTTTGAAGCAAAAAATGAATTTGAAGCCGATGATCTTTCTCTGCTTTTGGATGCTGGTTTGGTGGAAGAACGCAAAAGTCCTGATTTTTTAAAAGCTGATTCTTCGAAAGTTCCTTTAGATTTATTGGTATATTTTTATATTTAATTTACAAAAATTTTGCGGATTTTTACCTAATTTTTTATGTTAACCCCCTTATCCAGGCCCGTAGCAGGATTTTTTCGAGGGGAGGGGGGGGGGGCAAGGTCGAATTTTTTTGCGCCGCAGGCTAGAATTTTGAAAGTTTTAGAAGGCCGTAGGCCAAAAAAATTTATTTTTTTGCCCAATCCCTTCCCCATTTCGGGGGGGGGGGTGGAATTCTCCCTACCCTCTCCCCGCTTGGCTACGGGCCTGCCCTTATCTCTATGTTTAAGGTTAAATAAGTGATTAAAGAAAATATGTAAAAATCCGCAAAAGCCTCAAAAAAATTTATTTTAAATAGAAATCAAGATCTCCACGCCCTCCATGGATTTGTTCTCCCGGAAGAGAAAAGCTTGCAAATTTCTTCCTTATTCATCGTGAATGCCGTCCAGATTCTCCACATTTTATGGTTTTTTCTGATATGATGGGAATTAATTTAATTCACAAAGTTTTTTAAAATTTTTCTATAAATTTTCTAAAATCATTTTTAAAGTGTGCAGATATCGTTTGCGACGGAAATTCAAGTTTTTACCCCTATGGATTCGCGCAATTATATACATTTCATGCTGTTCATCATTCAATTCCAGAAGAGGCTCATCTTTGTGCTTTTGCTCTTTTACCAAAGTTTTTTTTAAATTTTTTAGAAAAGAATCTTGACCAAAAATTTCATAATTATTTTTATACCATCGTGTAGAGCATGCTCGATAGCTTATTTTTTTCTTTAGGAAGACAAATATTAAGAAAAGTGAGAGCGACTCAACCGTTTTAAAAGTCGAAAACTTTGAGGCTCTATAACTTTCTGATTTGGGGGGTGGGGGTACGGCCGAAAGAGAAAAAAATGGGAATAGGAAATCGACCCTGCTCTAGACGATGGTATAAAACTAATAAAGAAATTTTTGGTCACAGTTCGATATGGTTCCTTGTTACAAATTTTTTATTTTAGTACTTCATCTGTTGCTTATATTAAATTATTCGATATTATTTCTCAAAAATTGTTTACTGAATTTGGAGATCATGGAATTCAAAAGGTTACCTACTTTAAATATTTTTATTTAATAGTTTATTTTTAGAATTGGCATTTTGATAATCAGGTTTTGTTTATTCGTGGCAAAGCAATTATTCGAAACATTTTACAAGGGATTTTCATAAAAAATAATTTTTTCAGGGAATCCTTTATTCGAAAAGGGAAAAACTAAATCTTTTAATATCCCACCTCTATTTGATTCCCAGATTAATTTTCCTTTTTACTGTCAATCATTTTTTCTTTCAAATATTTTCCTCAAGATTTTCGAACCCTAACAAAATTAATATTAAACGATTCCTCTCATCGAGATAAAGAGATACATACCAAAAATGGCAAGGGCCAAAAATATTACCCAAAGTTATGGCTTTGCGCCGATGGCTAAAATAAATCTTTTAACAATGCGGCCCTTTAGAAAAATTTTTAAAAAATTTTTTTAATAAAATTTAATATTTAATTTAAATTTTTAGTTAGCAGCAATAAATGGCTGTAAATCAATTTTTATTGAAGATATTGTTGAAGGATCAGAACAAAAAACTTCAAATTTTGCAAAATTATGGCATGAACATTTAAATTCCTTATTTTTTGGAAAACATCCAGGATTAAATAGATTTATTAGAACAATGAGGGAAGAATTGTATAGAGCTGGGTTACAAGTAAATTTGGAATTTTTAAAAATTAAAATAAGTTTTTTTTAAATTTTAAGGCTGAAAGAATTTTTCGTCCGCCAGATTTTATTACTTCAATTAATTTGGATAATATTGAGGTTTTTATAAATTATTTTTAAAATATTGAATAACTATTCTAAAAATAAATTCGGAGTCTTTTATATAAGAGAGTAGTGTCGGTTCGGTTTCGGATATATCCGAAGAATTTCCAGAAACCGACAACCCTATAAGAGAGGTTATCTTTATTTTTTGCCTAAATTTTTGTGAAATTTTCGATATTTGTGGTCTTATTGAGTACATTTTAAATTACCGTATTGTCTCTAATAGAAGCCCATCTCCAATAGAAGCCCATGCCCTATTAGAAGCCCACTCAATAGGGGGTATTGAAAAATAAAGGCCCATGCCCTAATTGAAGCCCATGCCCTAATAAAAGCCCATCTGATTTTTGACTACCTATTTTTCTATTACTCGTGTTATAGTCGACTAAAGGTATTGATAACAAAATTCCAGTCTCCAAAAATGAGTATAGAAGGATTTGAATGGAATATCGGGAGATTTGGATAAGTTAAGTAGAATTTAAGGTGAATTAAGAGAATCTAGAGAAAGATAGATGCGGGTTTAAGAAGGTATCTAAGGAATTGTGGCATAGAGAATATTGTATGCTTGAGTGGGATATCGTTGGCTATCAACGAATTAATAGGAATATTCAGAGATTGAATATTGAGAGATTTGGTTGAATCCTCAAGGATTCAACTCCTTCCGTGCCTATACCTCGGTCCACCCAAAAAGTTCAATATCGAGAGATCCCTCGATCGATAGAGGTATCAATAATCCCTCCATATTTTTCCATTGAGGATATGGAATGGATTAAGAAATTTAGGCGCTTAAAAAGAGATTAAGTTACGAGAAGAAAGAGCACATTGGAAGATTAGAGTGGGATATTGTAAAGGATCAATAGGGATTGAAAGTTAAGGTGTAAAATTGATTTAAGAGCAAGGGGGATATCAAGGAATATTTTGGAATTAAACGGATATTTACAATTAAGATTGATTTAATAAAGATGGATAGGTAGCTTAATCTGATTATTCAGGAGTTCATTAATAGTGATTTGCGGGATTAGAAGGGATTTCCTCGCTACTAGTTTGAGGGAAAGGAGTTTTAGTGATATTTAATTGATTTTGATATTTAATTTTTACATTCATTTCTTTTTTTCTTCCTGGCAAACAGTTTAATTCTGTTGCTTTTATTTTTTATCTCTTTAAAATTTCGATATTGAAAAATAAACGCCCATGCCCTAATAGAAGCCCATGCCCTATTAGAAGCCCAGTCAATGAGGGGTATTGAAAAATAAACGCCCAGGGCTTGTATTAGAGATAATACGGTAATTGAAAACATTTCCGTGAGGGAATGATTAAAGAAAATTTTATTTTTAATTAATATTGTCGCAAAAATTCCAAATTTTTATTTTACTTTAAAAAATTTTTGATTCCTTTCTCTTTATTATTAAAATAAAAATATTTTTTAAGGCTGTTAATAATGTAAGTTATATAAAAGAGGAAGAAAATATTTTTGATTATCCTTCAAATAATTATGATAATTACAAAACTTTAAATAAAGAAATGAAAATTACCAATATTGAAATAAATAATAAATTAGATTGTAATAGAAGAAGTGATAAAAATGTTGATAATGATTGTTCGTGTAAGTTACTTTTTTTAATTTAAAAAAGAATATTATTCCTCAATTTATTTTAAGCTTTGCATTCTTATAAATTTCCTATTCATCAAAAATCAAGAAAAAGACAAAATGAAAGTTCTGATGGAAATTAGAAAATTTAAAAATATTTTTCGCAAAAAGTCATTTAATTTTTATTTATTTTTATTTTTTGATTAAATAATTTTAGTATGTATTTTTTAAGGAAAATTAGAAATTTCATAAAGTTATGTGATTTTTAATAGCCCTAGGAAATGTTCAGAAAAATTTTAATTTATCCCAGAATCCCTCAAAAATTAGAAATATTAAGGGTATTAAAATGAAGTTAAACAAGATTATTTTTACCAGACCTGGTCACGGATACTGATCTTGGTAACCGCGTCAGGGTATTTACTGCGGATACATGCGGATATCCGCAGGCATTTTGATATTATCCGTATCCTGACCAGGTCTGATTTTTACTACATAAATATAAATTATTTATACATATGTATTATTTACAGTAAATGTTATAAAATTTAAAAAAATAATATTTTCAAAAAAAGGCTTTTAATTTTGTGATTAATTGAAATAATTTTCTTTATTTAAATTCCACAATTTGTGTCAGTACTTTTCCACCAACATTCCACCTTCGCATCTTCCCAAACTTTTGGCGCTTGATCAACAACTTTGTGTCCATTACCATCTCTAACATAATGTTTCACTTCGTCTTTAACTAAATTTACTTTAAGTCCACGAATCTCAGCGACTTGAAACTGAATTTTAGAAAAATAAATTATTGTGCTATTAAAAGTAAAAATTTGGTTGTAAAAAATTGGGGGGAGTTTCAAAAAAATTTTATATTTTTATAAGGAAGAGGCATCCAGCTGGCTAGCATTTAAAACGCTCACTAGACGGGAATTTAAGATCTATTAAAAGAGCAGGTGAAAGCAGCGTCAAGGTAGCGCAGTCGGTAGAGCACCTGTACGTGGTGATCGGAAGCGCCAAGCGATAACTGCCAAGAGGTCTCAGGATCGAAGCCTGCCCGGGAGTAAACTTACTAATAATTAAATAATTATTAATTATCTAATAATTAAATTTTACTTTAAATTTTTTGTCATCCAAATTAATATCCGGGAGCAATACTTTCTTAACACTTTCTTTCCCTCCACAACTGAATTAAAAATTTTCTTAAATAATTTCGTCTAAAATAACTTGTGTGTTATATGAAGATAAATGTTCGTGTATGTCTTGTCAGGAACTGTACTACTGAATATTTGGCCGCAAATTCGATGTGTCAAAATCACAGGAAGAGAAAATGAAGAACTTCCCAAATTTATATTTTCACCTAATTTTACTCCAATATTCAAATCTTTAACACTTAAAGCTTCAAATTCAGATTCGTCATCGCAATGAGATAACCAATTTCCTCCTTTCTCAAAATGAGTGACTCGTAAACCAGTTATTTTAGCAGCAGCACTAGGACAAATGGCACATCCATCGAGAAGAATGAGGAACTCTATAAATATTAAATATTTAATTCACGTTTTACTCAGTCTCACTCCTAATAACCTCGCCATTTAAGCATTCCCGAGTGAAGCATCCCCCCTATCCCCCTCCCTACCCTCCCGCCCCTCTCACTCTCCCCAGCCTCTAAGGAGGGAGGATACCCATAACGATAGCCCAGCCCTTCTACCTATTTGCTGGTAATTCTTCCTACTTTTCTTCCCTACTTTTATTCCGATCCTTGGCAAAGTTCGATTCAGCAAATAATTTGTCTTCAAAAAAGTTTATCTAAAATTCGAAATTTAATCTTAAATAAATTCTCTTTAAATTACCAAAGCACAATTTTTAATATTATCAAACCAAACATTTCCGCACATTGGCATCTTAAAATTAATTTCACAATCAAATAAACTCGTTTCTTTATTTACCAAAGCAATCTTAAGGAAATGTTCATCACAACTCGGTAACGCCGTAGGGAGAAGGAAATTGTTAGATTTCTTTCCTTTTACCTGTTAATTGAGCAAATAATCTTCTTAAAAATTATTTTTGTGTACCAAACAACTACAATACTCAATTCCACTTGCTTTTTCACAAATATATCCTTCTTTGCCTTTGTTTGTCTCAAAAAATTTCTTCTCGCGATATTCTCCATCAGACTTTAAATTTAAAGGATTTTTAAAAAATTTAATTTTAACGACCTTATCGACAAATTTAATTAATATTAAAATAATAACAAAAATAAAATAAAATTTTAAAGTTATCATAATTGAAAAAAAGTTAATTTTCTTAATAAAAAATTTAAAATTAAACTAATTTTGATAAAATAAAAATTAAGACAAAATTAAATGTTTGGGGTGTTTAAGTTTTATTTTGATATTAATTAAAGCCCTTCAGTTGTTTAATTTAACTACTATTTTAATTAATTTTAAAACCATAAAAATATTTTATAAAATTAGAAAAGCCAGAATAAAATTAAAAAATTATGAATAAGACCATTAGATAAATGACAGGAAGAGGATAAGTATAAACTAAATTAAAAAATAATTGGGGGAAAATTCTACTACTATTACTCATTTAATTAATCACTTAATTTAATTAAAATCCAGTAAAAAAATTAAAACCCAACAAAAAATTTTATAAAAAATAAATAACAACAAAAATAAAAATTTGATAAAATCAACATAAAAAATCAACAAAAATTTAATGTTTAATATCACGGGGATGTGCAATAGATAATTGTATCTTTACATTAACAGCACTAAGTTCGGCACAAAGATAGCGAAAAACACGTGGTATTTGAACTTGAAAAACTTGATCATCTTTTTTACAAAGCGAGCAATGAATTTGAGTAAATTTTTGAAAATCATCTTCAATAGCGCCATATTTAAGCATCTAAAAATAATTTTAATTTAGTCTAAAAAATTATTTAAACTCACAGCCATGTGTGGTTTAAGTTGACTAACAGAAACTATTGAACCACATCTTCCACAGACATGAGCTTCTTCTTTGTCTGAACAATTTAAAAGACGATCCTAAAAAACTAAAAATAATTTTCGGCTCTAGTTTAGGACATGCGTCCCATGAACTTTAAAGCGTCACATGAAAAAGTAAAAGCGTCAAAAATAGTATATGCGTCCCATGAGAGAATAGGAGTCCCAAAAACTGCACGGGCCGGAATCCCTTACGGAATTTTTAATTATTCCCATAAATTGCCATCGTCGCTAAAAATAGAATGAATCTGGGTCCTAGGCCTTCCAAAATCTCAAAATGCTGAAAGCCTAATTTTCTAAGAAAAAATAATTATTAAAATTACTTGTAAGCAAAAAGCTGTTCCATGGGCTATTAATGAATCTCTTTCCATTTCCCCAAATCTAACACCCCCACCACGTTTACGACCTTTTACAGGTTGAAGAGTAACTTTAATTTAAAAAATATATTTAAAAAATAATTTAAAATAAATGCCTGGATCCACAGGACCGGTTGAACGACATTGGAATTTATCAGAAATCATATGCCGTAAACGTTGATAATAAACAATACCGAAGAAAATTTGAACCTAAAAATTATTTTAGCTAAAGGAGAATAATTTTTAGGTTTCGTTAGTTTATTACAATAATCAGAATTCTAGTCAAAACTCAAAAAAAAACAGAACAAAACGGATTGTAAGGATGATATTAGGAATAACTAAACAACTGTTCAAGGCTAGGTTCAAAAGAGCTATTTCGAAATTTGTATTTTCGAAGATTTTTTTTGTTTTGAAACAAAAATTGAAAGTCTGACTTGCTTTCCCTTTTCATATTGTTCCTTAAAAAATATGAGGAAATAAGAAAATAGTAAATGCATGAGGAAACAACGTAACTCAAACACCAATTTTTGCATTTTCGACAACCCCCAGTTAGTATGACAAAATGCCCCTTCAATATCAAATATTTGAAAAAATTCCCACTTTCATTTCACGTCCATCCACGCCTGAATACATAGTTTCTTCTCCATAATGATTATAACCAGCTCTTGATAACATTTTCCCAAAATGTTCTATAGCCGTATTTTGTTCACTTAAATATTTATAAATAGAAAAATAAATTTAAAAACTACTTAAAAACAAAAGGAGAAGCATCAAAAGTATCCCCATGTGTTGCTGCTGCTTTTCCAGCCATACTCTCAATCATCATTCCAATTGTCATTCGAGAAGGAAACCCGTGAGGATTAAAAAGAATATCTGGAACCATTCCAAATTCAGAAAATGGCATTGATTCTGGAGGCCAAAGAAATGAATTAATTCCTTTTTGACCATGCCTTGATGCAAATTTATCTCCAATAATTGGATTCCTTTGAATTCTCCATTGAATTAATGCATGCTTTTAAAATTTTAAAAATAAATTTAAAACTAGACAATTTTGTGGGAGTGATGAAAACCAAAAAGACGTCGTGTTTTTATTTTTTAAATTTGACAAATGAAAGGTCTAAAAAACTATAGAAAAATCCAGGCTCCCCCTCCAAAATCCAGGCTTCCTTCCCTTCCTTCCCAGCTCCCCTTCCCTTCCCAAAAACACACTACAGCAACCCAATCCCAACTTAAGAATTAAAAAATAATCGAGTACCACTTTAGCATCAGGAACATTTTCATCTCTTACAATTCTAACAATTCCACAATAACCAGGTTCACTAGAAGTATATTTAAATTTTCTAAATTCTCCACTGATCAAATTAAAAGTACTAAAATAAAAAAATAATTTTTTTTCCAAATTTTAAACTACAAACCAATAATAAAAATCTCCATATTGATAACAACGCCCTTGAATTGGAAGTCCATCAGCATCTAAACTGGCAGGTCTAACATCATTTGGTTCACCACAAAATACAACTTCACAATCGGATTTCCTCCCAAAACGTGCATTTGAATGCTCTGCTAAATTTATTCTTTCAACTTTAATTACTGTTCCGTGGGCAAATCCTCTTTGATATGATCCCTTATTTATTACCATTGCATCTTCCATATCATAACCTTAAAATTGATGGGAAATAAATTTTTTTTAATTAAAATTAACCAGTATAAGAAATTACGGCAACACAAGCATTTGTTCCCAAAGGATATTCATCCATTTCATATTTATCATGAGCCTCTAATTTAAGTAAAGGTTTTTGTGGAGTTTGAAGTAAATACATTTTGCCGTCAGCGCGGTGCCTCCAAGCATGAACTGGGACCTAAAATATAATTTATAGGGAACCGGACTGATTCAGGATATAAATTAAATAACTAGGAGGAATCCAGAGTTTTTTAAGTTAACGAAAAAGTCAAAAACAGGGAAATACCTCGAAACTGAAAATGGGTGAAAAATCGGTACTTTCCGTTAATCGACCGCAAACTGATTGTGAGTACTTAATAATCTAAAAGTTTTTATTTCACAAACCCCCATTGTTTGCTTTCCCATTTGACACTGATAAACATTTCTTGGCGATTGGTTGTGATCAGGAAATGGAATTAAATTCCCCGCAAAGGAGAAAAGTGCAGATGGATGCAATTCTTGATGCATAGTTACACCAGGTTCTGCTTCATCAGGATCAATAACAATCGATAAATAAACTTGTTCAAACATACCTTCACAAAAACAATTAAAATTTAAATAAAAATTCCAAAAATACCAATATATTCCGTTTGCCCATTCAATAATAAATTCTTAACTGGACGATAGAGCCGGCCAGGAAGTGTGTAGATATATAAACCAGGATATTGAGTTTGGATATTTTCGGGATCAGGGGAATTTCTAATCAAAGTTATTTCAGCAAATTTTGAAATCTTAAAATTTTTTTTAGAAAATTTGAAAACTATTCTAATTACTCTGTCATCGAATTCGCTAACTTTAATTGCTCTGAGTTGCCTTTCAACAAATGCTGCCTTTCTACACGATAAATAACCAACAAAATTTCCATCAACAACAACAGGATAAAGCTAAAATTAGAACATAAATATTTACATTCATAAATAGAGATCGGATTTATATTGAAATAGGGCAAAAAACGACCTTGGATATGAACAAGCCTTGATGACCAGAGTTCGAATAGAAAAGACAGAAATGACCAGTAATAGATGTGATAAAAAATGGAAAGACAGTGGTCAGTTCGCGGGCAGGGTCACTTCAGTGATTTATTTAAATATAAATCCGATCCCTACTTATAAATATACAGCTGAGGAAAGCTGGGGAAAGTTAAATATGAAAAATATAATAAAAAATCCTTCGAGAAAAAAAATTCTTTACAGGTTCATCCGGAAGTATTGCCAAAGAACTGTGCGGAATAATACCCAAAGACGAAAGCGTTTCTTGTAATTTTCTAGGACTTTGAGTAAAATGTGTAACAATATTAGTTGATGCAGTAACATGATTTAAAAGGCCACAGGGAGCACCGTCAGGTGTATGGACCTTTAAAAATAATTTTAAAATTTATTTTTAATTTCAAAAAAATACTGGACAAATAAATCCCCAAGCTTCAGGTCTCAATTTTCTAACATCCGTTGTACGCATTTCCATAAAAAATGCACCACGATGAATTGCACTTGAAAATAAAATTAATTTTTTTCTCAAATTTGAAAAAAAACCGAAAATGTGAAACAAATCTCAATTGATTAATTCTTTCAGCAATAACAGCAAAACCAGTTAATTGCATTAATCCAACACCCGTTCTTGTAATTAAATTCCCCGTTGCTAGAAAATATTCTAGACCACGAGAAAGTTCATTGTTTTTATGTGAAGAAAATGCTTTTATAAATTCCTTGCTATTAAAAAATAAAATTAAATAATTAATTTAAAAAACCTTGTAAAATTAAATGTATCAGGCCTTTTCTTTGCAACAATTTCTAATTTTTTTCTAACAATTAATAAAATATTTTCCATTCTTTCTCTAGAAATTAATGCCAAAATATGTCCGGAAACTGAAGCTTCCTATAAAATAATTTTATTTTCGTCAACAATAGAGATTGGAAATTTTGAAAAGCCTGGACATGTTTCTGGACTTGATTTCTTGACCTGGACTGATACTGGGCCTGTAGTCCAGGAAAAACCCAGGCCCAGGAAAAACACAGAAAGGGCAAAAAATGATTGGACCTGGACTCTGGGAAAAAAACCCAGGCCGATCTCTAGTCAACAATTCAACAGTTTTGTTTGTAAGAATCGTCCACAAAATCTTAGAGATAAGCAATAAAAAATTTTTTATTTAAGAAAAAATTTTGTAACCTGAAATTGTGGGTTATCAAGAGATTCTGGCTGAATTTCATTTTTAACCAAAGCAACTAATTTTTGTGCCATCATAGCCAAACAATAAAATTTCTGTTCATCAGTTTTTAAGTGAACAGCCAAACAATGAGTTAATAAAAATTGGCAAGCCTAAAAAGTATTTTAAAAATATTCCTAAAATTTAAAAACCGTTTCATCATCCTCCCATGGTGCAAGTCTTTCCCCTAGAGCAACACGAAATTTACTTCCAAGCATAGCAAAAGCCGATTTTTTAGAAACAATGCCTTCTCCCCAAAATAAAAAATTTCTTTCAAATAAAAATTAAAAAAAAACCTGCGCAACCGTTAACATATTTCGAACACATTTAGCCCAAAATTGATCATTAGGCCTTCCAGCAATTAATTGATTATAAATTTGAGCATCATTCCAATCGACCAAACATTTAATTACGTAAATTAAAGGAACATAAAAAATTTCACGGCGATACTTTAAAAAGATTTTTTCACAAAATAAGGTTAAAAAGAATGGTACTTTATTGATATCCCGCCCCACCCTTGAGGCTCAGATTAATTTTCAGTTTTTTACTGCCAATCATTTTTCCTTCACATTACAGGTAAAAGGCAAGCATTAGGAAGGAAATTTGACCGTTCCGAGGCAGGAAAAATAAAAAGGAAAATTAACTCAGATAGGGGAGGGGGCGGGATATGTATTAATAAAATACCAAAGGAACAAAAAATACTTGTATAAGAAGTGTCATTGAAAGACTTTCAAGATAATGTAGAGTAATTAATGAACAATAATGATTTCCTCTAAAACATCTCATCATTACAGCAAATTCAGAATAAAGTTTTCCTTTAGAATAAATTTTAGACAATTTTTTAAAATTAAAAAAACCTTTTTCTCTAAAAGTTTTCCTTTTAACCGCTAAGGGATAATTACGTTTATTTGCGATAAGTAGGCGCATAATTTTTTCTGAACCATTTACAATAAAATAACCACCTCTAGAAAAATGTTTTAAAAATTTTAAAGTAGAATTTAAGAGAAGAATCCATAAATGCTTTCATGGAAAAAAATTAGGTACTTATTAGTTATCCCAGTTTTTGCGGACATATTTATGCGGACTCATTTTTGCATGAAATGGTCAAATGTTCATCTTCCTCGATTTCACTCAATTTTCCCTGTGTTGATCAATTAGGATAGGGCAAAATCAAGTATTAAGCAAAGGTACCCTTTTTACTTCGATTCCAATCGACTAACTAAAGTAGAGAGAAATGAGGAAAAATGATATAAGGAACCACCAATAATAAAAAAAACCTTTCCAAAGCTTCCTCTCCTTTAGCAATTAATTCTTTTCTTTTCAATCCATATAAATTACATCTATTAGAACAAAGCATTACAGGAATTTCTGCCAAAAGTAAATCAACTGTATCAATCTTTCTTCCATTTAACTTTAAAAAATTAAAAATAATTTTAATACTTTTCCGTTATACGACCGCAAACTGAGTGCCGGCGAAATTTTGATCGGCTATCACTTTTTAATGCTTGATCCAATACAATAAATTTTATGTCATTCGAAAGCCCTCGATAAGCTGTATATTTCTTCTAATAGGCTAGGTCATGTCTGATCACTGATTAAAAAGTTATAAACCGTTAAGTTCAGTTATTCGATGTTTTTCACGTTTGTCGGGCTATAACTTTTTAATATGTGATCAGACCTGATCCATCAAGTTGGAAAAAATATACAGCCTATCGAGGTCTTTCGAATGATATAAAATTCATTTAAATTGGATCAAGAATTAAAAAGTTATAGCCGATCAAATCTCTGCTGTCACTCAGTTTGCGGTCGTATAACGGAAAAGTACCAAAGTTTTTTAAAATTTAATTAAAAAATACCTGTAAATCAATACAAACGTTAAGGGGTGCTCGATAAGTTAATCGTCTTTGTCTACATTCTGCTGGATAGATTGGACAATTGCCTATATCACCACCCATTTTTGAATTATCTAAATGAGGCTTTCCTAACCGAGCATTTGTGTACCAAAATTCAACAGCATCCCCATTTGGTAATTTTAATTTGACAGGAGGAATGTCTTCAGCAATTGCTTGAAATCCTTCATCGGCCAAAAAATTGAATGATTCGACGTGATAACTATAGAAAAAATTTTTTAGATAAAAAAATAATTAATATTATGTAAATTTTACCCAGAAATATCACAATCCATTGATGAATATTTAGAATTCAAGGTGATAAAAAATTTAGTTGCAGGGAAATAACAAGTATTTTTAATACTAAAAGAAAATGTAAAATGGAATCAAAATTAAATTTACAAAGGAATGCCGAAAATAAACAAAAATTTATAATGATAGGCCCACTTGGGCGCGGGCACCCAGGCGCAACGACATTTACAAAGGGAACCTTTCATGTTGCACGTGGGAAAGAGAGACCCTCGAAAGATTTTGGTATTTGGCGGTTCAATCGACTTATCTCGACGAGAAGAATATTATTCCTGGTAATATTGAACCTGAAAGACCCCAGTTTTCCTCCCCAAGTTTCTTCCTGTATATTTGTAGAATGGTCAGACTTCTTCCTTCAATTTTCCTTACTTCCATTCAAGGGGAATTCCTTTTGATTTTTTGTAGGCAAAATATAGAAGGGCAATTGGGAGGGAAGAATGGAGCAAGTCTGGCCATTCTGTAATATATAGGAAAAAACTTGGGGAGGGATACTGTATTTAACTCTAATAGAGCGGCAGCCTCCATCTGAACGGCCATCTCCAATAGAGCGCCTCTTTGAGACGGGATTGAAAAATAGAGCGTCCGGCCGCTTAGAAAATACGGTAAATGGGGTCTGTCAGGTTCAATATTACCTTATTTCTAAATACCGTATATACTCTATTAATTACCCTGGGTAATTATTGTTTCGACCTCTCTCTGGAGAAGGTAATTGATAGAGGCGGGGTAATTAATAGAGGTTATTTTTAGCAAGGATAATTGTAACTGTTTTTAAGGGGGTAATTATTGTTTCAACCTTTCGCTAGAGGGTAACTAATAAAGGCGGGGTAATTATTTGAGGGGGGTAATTAATAGAGTATATACGGTAGTCAGGTTTTACCGTGGATTAATTTCTTCACAAACTACAAAATAATCAGAGTAATACACATTTTATTTAAAATTAAAAAATAGTACAAATAAAATCTTCACTTGAATTTGAGTAATAAAATTCAAAAAAATTAAATTAAATATTTCTTTTATTTATCATAAAAATGTTTATCTATTAGTGTTTATCTATATATTCCAAGATTTTCTAAGCATATCAAAATGGCTATCAATTGACTGTTTTGCTTTTAAATCCTTTCCATTTAAAGATTTAAAGGATATATTTGCTTGATTATTTGTCAAATTTTTTGAGAAAAATACTGAATTTTTTGTTATTCCTTTAGTGTTGTTAGTAGAATCCTCTATTTTGTTTTTAGAACAAAATAATATTTTATTTTTCAGTTTTTGAATGAGTAATTTAACTTCTCTATTAAGATATGGATGAAAACTGAAAATTAAATTTTTATTTCGGTAAAAGTAAATCGGTGATAAAAAAATTTGTAATAAAACTCTAATTATTATCAACTTTAATTATTTTTGCAAGCTGAACTAAGTTAAAATTATTCATAAATACCCTTCCATCATTTCTCTAAAAATTATCTCATATTTTACCTTCTTTTCTAGCTTAAGGAGGTGTGTGGTATTTCTTAGAATTAGGGTAGCACCCTGAGCCTTCGGGGACGGAATCGTCGGAGATGGGGGTCCGGGGTAGAGCCTTCGGGGGTTCGGGTCAGGGTTTTTGCCTAAAAAATAGTTGGGGTTTCGGGGTGCTACCCTAGTTTGAATGGTTCGCCCCTGTGGTTGTTCAATTTTCACGGATTTGTATTTCGGTCAAATCAAGTCGGATTTTGTTGATTGTGTCATTCGACACAGCTCGGTGGGTTCTACAATTGTTGTCCAGACTGACCATTTTTACATATTTTTCGAAAAGACTGACTGGGGGGGGGGAACTAAATAAGTACCGTTTGAATGACATAGATTTTTTGTTTTCTTATCATTTATCACCGTTATATAATAAAAAATATTTTCCTTACATAATTATTGTAACTTCAACAATAAACAAATTCAAAGTAACCACAATACTTAAAGATTGAGTAATTATATCCTCATTAAATTCATTAATAAAAAAATTAAAATAAATAAATGTTTGGCATCCAAAAGTAAATAAAACATTTATAAAATAAAAAATTAAAGAAGGAATTAATTGTTTTATTGTTCGAATATTTTCGCTTAACTTTAAATAAAAATGAAATTTAAATAAATATTTTTATTTTATTTTTTACTTGATATCTTTCTGATAAACTTGTAAAAGTAATTTGCTTTTTTTCATAAATATTTTTATTTTTATTGAATATTATAAAGAAAATCTGAAAATTTTTTTTAATTAAAAAGACAAATAATTTACCAAAATTTCAATAAAAGCAATCAAAATAATTATTAAATAAGTTATTAAATTGGCTAAAGTAGCTGGATTGTCTTCTGTTATTTTTTGATCGGAATGATCAGAATATGAATTGTAGGCAGATGATAGGGACTAAATTAAAGATAAATGATTATTTTGAATTTAAATAAAATTAAATTTCTGTTTAAACTATTGTTTGGGGCAATAACTCGAGAAGATTCATTTAGAATTTAAATCTCTCTTTTTTACTAAAATTTAGTAGAATTTCGATATAGTAGAAAAATATAAAGTTAACTCAAATCACTCTCGGAATTTGGCATACAAACCAAATTTTTATGTTTATTTAAACGGGCCTTATTTTGGAATTTAATTATCTTTTACTTTTTTAGACTCAAAATAAATTAAAAAATTTATAGAAGATTGGCAAAATTTTGTTTTGGTAGAAGAAGGGGTGTGCTGAATATCTTATTATTCACTGAAAGTATGTAAATTTGTTTATTATTGTCAAATCTCGTTTGATTTATGAGAGACAATATTCAATATTTTTTGAATCCGGTACATTCTGGTCTAGCTACTAATCCTTTTTTAAGTTTAATTTCTAATAAAAATTACCAAAATTAAAAACCAAATAATTCCAAAATATTTTCTCTTCTTAACTTCATAATTACAAACAAATATTGTTGCAATTAATCGTTCAAGTACAATTACATGCCCAATCAAAATAAGAAAATAATTACAAAAAAGACCAGAATGATGTAAAATCTCAGAGTCGTCCCAAGTAAAATTATTTGACGAAAAACGAAAAATAATTGTTGTAATTCTTAAATTAATTAATTGAATCAAAATAAGCGAAAATAATTACCATATAACCTGTATTAATTGCCCTCCCTCAAATAATTTCCCCATCCAGTGATAGATTGAAACAATAATTACCCCCAAACAAATGCCCTAAATCACATTCGAATTTCAAACCACGTATATTACCCTCCCTTAATTAATTACTCCCTCCAGCGGAAGGTCAAAACAATAATCACTAATTTGTAAGGATAGGCATTAAATGATATAGTAAGATATTTATTTTTGTCGGCTCTTATAAATTTTTTTAATATAAAAATAAATTAAAATTTTTATTTTAATTTAAAAAACTAAAGATAAAAAATACTACAAAACTTAAATTATAATTACCTTAAAATAGCTCTTTGAATAATAAAAAAGCTTTGACACAACAAAATTAATTTTAGATTGAAATGAATAACTGATATTTTTAAAATTAAACGAAAATTAATTAAAGATAAAAATAAAACTAAAAATTGAATAAATAATTCAGAAATATTTAATATTAAAAGTATTGTTGGAAGACCATTTAAAAAAATTGATGATGTTACATTATTATTATTTAAAGTAATATTAGAAGAATTTGTAATATTTGCTGACATTTATGTGAATAATTTTTGAATTTTTGTGCTTCTGAAAAAATTTAAAATTATCCAGCCCTTTATCGACGTGGGTGTCATTAACGGACACTTTTTCTTTTTCAGTGACTTATTGCCAAGCGGAATGGAAACTTGTAATAGAGATTTTACGCTTTTATTTAACTTCAATTTGTAATTATGTTAATTTATTTGTTTCGAAAAAGTAAATTAGATATAATTACAAATTTGGGTTTAGTACAAAATATTTTAACCTTGTAAAAAATATTTTTATATTTTAATCCATTAAGTTAAATATAAATGAAATGATAAATTTAACAAAAATTGTATTTTTTTAATTTTTTATTTTTATTAAATATTACAGCAATCTGGTGAGGGCGGGGGATATTAAGTCGGACAAATGCTAAACTAGGTACAATAAAAAATAAAAAAATATTGATAAATGGTAAATGAATACTGATCAACCTTTGATATTGTTTCGCATTCAAAAAAAAAAAATTGGTGAAAAAAAAAAATTGGTGAATACTGATCAACCTTTGATATTGTTTCGCATTCAAAAAAAAAAAATTGGTCACCAAAATTATTTTGAAGATTTAAGTTGCAAAAAATTGTTTAGGGAGGGCTGTTTATAAAACTACTATAATTTAACTATGATTTCGATAGAATTTAGTATTTGTGTTTACATAAAATCGAAAATCTGTGAGGGATTTCAAATGCTTGAATTTTGAAAAATGCGCATGTGTTAGATGTGTGTAAAATGACTAATTAAATAGCCATATTAAAACAACCTTTACTTCTCTAACAAATAATTCCCCATTTACTATAAATAAATAATGGCAAAAAATAATTAAATAACACAATCTTTATCTATTAAATACTTTAGAGAAAATTATGAGTGGGATTATTAAATAAAAATAAATATAATTATATAGTATTTATAAACTAAAAATAATTTATTTAATTATAAATATCATTTATAAATTAATTATTTTAAGTGTAACAAAAATAATTTATTTTAACTGACACACCTTAATTAATTTAAATTATTATTTAATATTAAAAAATATTTTTGTTTCTTTAGTTATTTAATTATTTTTAATTTAATTATTTAGTTTTAAAATTTAATGTACACAGTCTAAACTATAGATTAAAACTTGGGACGGGCAAAGGAAAGGGATTTAGAATTGGGTTTTCTTGAGTTTTAAAAACCTTTACCCCATACTTTAAAATATTCCAAAATAATTTATTTAAAGTTTTTTTATATTTAGGAATACATTAGACATTATAAGCCACTTTGGAAGAAAATTTTTTAGTTTAAAAATTAAAACTTTAGCTAAGACATTAAATATAATTTCTCTAAATAGAAAAATAAAAGATTAATTTTGCTTTAACACCTGTAATTATATTTAAAATAAATTAATATAAAAATTAAAAATCAAAGGTGGCAGAAAAAATATTTAAAATTGCCACTTTTATATTTAAAAATAAAAACACAAATTAGGTAGATAAAATTTTTGCAAGAAAAGAGGATAATATTTTATTTATTTTTTTATAATTAAAATAAAATAATTATATATTATTGTAATTGAATGTCAGGCATTTTATGATTCCTTCCAAAGTATTAGAGGGGAGAGTGGAGGAGGGGGGGAGTGTAATTGAATACCCTCTCCCCTCTATTAGAGGGGGAGACCGTAAATGCTCGAATAATTACCCTCTCTCAAATAATTGCCCCCTCTCAATTAATTACCCCATGTAGCGAGAGGTTGAAAAAATAATTACCCCTCCTAAAAATAGTTATAAGTAGCCTGTTTAAAAAAAGCTCAAATAATCACCCCCTCTCAAATAATTACCCCGCCTAGATAGAAGTTGAAACAATAATTACCCAGGGTAATTATTCGAGCATATACGGTAGTAGGGTATTCAATTAGAGGGAATACTGTATATATATTTGTTTATTTTTTGAATGATATCCAATTAATCTCTAGAATTTTAAATTTATTTTATAATAATTTTAATTATTATTTCAAAATTTTAAAAATCCCCCAATAATTTTTAAAAACTGTATCCATTTAAAAACGATAGTTTAATTAAATTGTAAATTTGTTAAAATTAGATTTCATATTTTATTTATAAATATAAATTTATTTTTTATATATTCCCTAATAATTTATTTAAAAAATTATTTCAGACATCATCAGAAATATTTTAAAAAATGTAAGAAAAAGAAAAAAATTTATTCCAATTAAAGAAGTCTGTAAATAATTTAATTAAAATTTTTGTGAAAAATTATTTGAGGTAATTAATTATTAATAAAGAAAAATTTAAAAAAATATAAAATTGTATTAATGTGGAAAATTGACAGAAAAAAATAATTTTTAGAGAAAAATTTTGGAAGAAAAAATTATTTTTGGTATTTTGCTAGATAAGGTTGAGGGAATATTATTTAGAAAAAATTAAAAAAATATTTTAAAGGTAAATGACAAGAAAGGAGTTTTTATTTAGTTTTATTAATAATTCTTTGACTTTTTAAAAAGAATTTTTCAATTTTAATATTTTCATAAAAAAAGATTTTTCTAGAAATAATTAATTTTTGAGTTGGAATGTACATAGATAGAAAGGCTTAGAAAGGTATTGAAAAAAGATTTAAATTAATTAATATTAGTAATCGTAATTCCATATAGTAACGTATTTCGTACAGTAATACCGAAGAAGACCGATACAAAGTTTTGTCGTACCGTAATGCCGACACGGAATACCAAAAAATATTGTAGGGAGTACAGTACGGGAACTTATAAATATGGTGTGTAACATAATTATAAAGGAACCCATATTTTCGGTCATATCTCGAGTTTTTCTTGATGAATTTATAATTATGTTACACACCATATGTATGTATACCCGAAAAAATACAAAAAAATTTCTTTTCCTTCTTCCCAAAAATTTATTTAAATTTCTTTTAACTATAATTGCTTTGTGGATTAATTACTTCTGGAACATTGCTGAATGTTAATTTACTACATTGAGCAAATTTAAAAGGAGGATCTCCACCAATGTTTTCAGTTTCGAGTGTATCAAAAACGCTTAATTTTAATTGACTGATTTTTGCTTGAAGAGAATTTTTGATTTTTATATTCTTGAATTCCTGAAAATAAAAAAATAATATTTAAATTATTAGAATGTTCGGGGGGGGGGAGGTTTATTAATCAAAAATATATTTTTAAGACTTTTGTTTTTCTTTAATATACACTCTGTCATAAAAGTTTAAGCATCCCCAAATTTTTGTAAAAAATTTGAAGAAAAAATGTTTTTGAAAAATATTTTAGATTTTAAAAATTTTACATTAAAAAAATTTTTTTTTGAACAAATTTTTTGTTTTTATTAAAATACCTAAATTATATTTCAAACAAAAAAACTCACAAAATTAGTATGCATATAATTTGGAGTTCCATCAATCAAAATACAACCAGAAGCGTGGTTTGTGTCTATTTGATCAATACTCAGATCTTTTAATGTTATATTAAGATATTGTGTGGAGATATCTGCTGGAGGGAATTGACCTTTGCCATCACTGTATTTTAATGTAAATATTAGTGGATATCCATTAATTGTATTTCCAGACAAAGTTTTGCCATTATATGTAAATGAATTTGTTGTCCCAACTCCTTTCATTCCAATATTTCTAATACAAACTTTTCTAACACCTCCACCAATTTCTTTTGTTGCCTTCATTCGAATACCATTATCAGACATAAGGAAAATGTTATCCTTAATTTTAATTTTATTCAAAATCGGAACAAAAAAGTCAAGTTCACTAGGGTTATCCACTACAGGTTATTCAGATTTTAAAAACTCGGGTTTCGGTTTAATTTTTAGTTAAAATTAAACCGAAACTGTTTTGTTTGGGGAAATTTTTTTAAGAAATCATTTCCAAAAATCTTAGAAAATTTCATAAAAACAGTTAATCTTTGCCAAGAATTATCAAAATTTTCGATTTTAAAATCGGACGTAAATAATTTTGGGGACATTCATTATTAAGGAAATGAATGTCTGCTAAATAAGAACATCGTTCTTTTCCTTTCTGCATTCGAAATTCTGGCAGTTTTTCCGCAAATGCCCAGATTTCCTCTTTCCGTTTATTAAGGAAATGAATTAGATCAAAAAAGTTAGTCCCCAAGTAGACACTCTAAATATAACTCTAGTTATTTTTACCTCAATTTGGACATCTTGTACCCAATCTCCAAGATTACCACCAAAGGAGCATCCATGTGAATGCCGGAAATAATTATTTCTAATAACAACAAATTCTACAGGCGGAGAATTAGATTTTTTTCCTTGTCCAGTACCCATTGCTACAGAATCATCTCCAGTTTCAAAAAGATTACTTAAGATTTGAACATTACTAGCATCGCCTATATTCATTCCATCGCCATTATTTATATCAAAGGTAGTAAATCGAGTATTAACCACAGACTGTAAAAAGATGATTTTATGAAATATTTGACTCAGTTCAGTTATCCAATGAAAAATAAAGTGGGTCCACGGTACCCCGTAGCGAAAATGGTGCAAATTTCATAACTAAAGTAGGGTATGATCTATCTGTCTGCCAAATTTCATCCCGAAGTTCCACGGACACCTGACAGCCTCTCCTTTGTTAGAAATTTCTAATAATTCTTTATTATTATGCACCTTTAACCATTTTGTAATATTTTGAAAAAAAAAGAGAAAAGAAAATGAGTCGTCTAACTCAAATACATCTACCGTATTTTCTCGATTAATTCCCCCTCTTGATTAATTTCCCATGTTAGAGTTGGGTTGAAACAATAATTCTCCACCCCCAAATACCCTACTGCACGTTCAAATGCCAAAACTCGAATAATTCCCCATGCCAAGGAAGGGTTAAAAAACTAATTTTCCAGGGGAATTAATCGAGAAAATACGGTAAGTCATTATTTTAAATATAATTATGAAAATCCTTTGGACTCATAAAATCGAACCAAATATTTTTATTTTAAATCTTTAAATTACTACATACAATATTACGACTATTTCCAATAGCCATAGTAATCATAGATGGATTTCGAAGGGTTAGGTTGGTGCCTCCAATATGTAAATTTGTAATTCCAAGTAATAATAACATTTTAGAACGTGCACTTCCATATTTGTCTTTACTTGTTACTTGACTTGCAGCTAAAACCCCATTTTGTTTAACTGTTTGTGCTGATCCTTTAACATAATGAGGTAAAGGGTTCCCAATTTCATCTATTATTGTAGTGTCTTGCTTCCATCCATTATTATCAATAATACCTCCACTACTAACAATTCGAAGATTTTGAGAATGCTGTGGATCCTTTAAATAAAATAATTTTTAACTGCATTCTCAAAATCTCTTTTTAAATTAACAAAAAAACTCACAATAACGTTAATTAAAGCTGAAGGCATATTTAATCTTGGAATCAAAGGATAATCGTTACTGTTAGGGGAACCTAACAAAACAGCTCCAGATGCCAATTCGAAAGTCATATTTGATTTTAAAATTAAACTTCCAGTTAGGAAAGTTCCTCTGGGGATTCTAATTTTACAGTCGTATGGAGACAGAGAACCAGTAGCACAGCTATCTATGGCATCTTGTATTGCTTTTGTATTCATTGTTTTTCCGTCACCTACAGCTCCCACTTTTGATATGTCCACAATCTATTTTAAAATATAAATTAAATATTCTCTTATCATTTTTCAAAGTCGATTGGGCCTAATTTTAGATACCCCCAGTTTATAGATACCCCAGTAGCTAACTTAATCAAGAGATAAAGCCTAAATTTAGATGTAGCTATTATTGGGTGTTTATCGAATCGAGATCCGACAAATTAACAAAAAATTTTCCTATACCTTTTTATAATTAGTTGGTGTAGTAACAACTAATGGTTTACTATCTTCAGATTCATCCCCATTAGAAAGAACAGATCGAACAGTAAATGTATATTTTGTTTTTGGCTTTAATCCTTTAACCCAAAAAGTATTGAAAAGAATTTTTGGATAAAATTCTGGTTCTTCTTTGAGAAAAGTATCAAAATATCTTCCAACAACACTATTTTGCATTGAATTATTTTTAGAATTTCCAAGCAGCTAAAAAATTAATTTTTTATAAATTAAATTTCTTGTATTATCCAGTTTATGTGTCCAATCAACTTTTATCGAGGTACATGAAAGACAAGGTCAAAACACTTATATGCATTTACAGAAAGTCGAAAGCTTTGAATTGAGCTGACTTTGTTGAATGTAATGTGTTATCAGTAAAATAACACATTACATGTGTTATGTAATGTGTTAAAAGGCTTATTATGAGTCTCTTACTTTTTTTAATCCAATTTTTAACCTATAGATTTTACCTTTAGTTCCTAAGATTAAAATAGGTAAATATTTCCAAGTATAAACTATCTGGGACAGGTAAATGAACTTGGGCTCCAAAACAAATTTTAAAATCATAAAAGTTGATTGGATCTATAAACTAAACATTCCATATCCCTCAATAAACCTGTCCATCCTTATAAACATTATAGCCAACAACATCATCAGCAACATCAGGCTGAGTCCAAGTCAAAAAAACTTTACTTGGTTCATATGCAAGAATAGGAACACACACAGCTTGGGGAACATTAGTTCCTGTCCCAAAACCCTTACAGGAACTATCCACGTCTGAACTTGAACAAAACGGGCTATCTGAACCTTCAGTTGGGGGAGCATCAGCTGGCGAAGGTGGAGAATTATCTGCTTGGTCTTAAAAGAAAATTTTGATTTTTAAATTTTTAAATCAAAATTTAATATTTTAGAAAGTTAAGTATATGTACTTAAATATATATTCGTTAATTTGTTATATATATTTTTTAACCTTGTTCGGTGGTTGTAGAAATCTCACCTAAGAATAAAAATTAATCGAAATTCATTAAATTTTTTTATATTTTTCGGCTAAAACTATTTTGGATTAAAAAAAGAAGTTAATTCCAAAAAAAAGGAATAATTTTTAAAAATATCCAACAAATATAAACTAAAAATCAAAATAAAAAATCTTAACAAAATTTAAATTTTGCTTTAAACGTCCTAACCTTGTTGAGACGCTGTACAAGGTACTCCCTCACCTAAGATTAATTAAATTATTATTTTAATTCTCTAAAAATTAATTTTTAAAAAAATTAAATTTAAATTTACTTGTAGTATCACCATCCCCATTAATATTTTTTAATAAAAAAATTAATAAAATATTTAATAGAAAAACTTTTTTCATTTTTTAGAATTTTCCTTCCAATGTGGAGAGGAAAAAATTATAAATAATTTTTAATGTTTGAGTGAATGAGAGAAATGAATTAAAATACTTCAGCTTATATTAAAACTTAAAATATAGCTTAATAATTAATAAAATAATCCAAAAAAAATTTTTTTCAGGTGATTAAATTTAATTTTAAATAAAAAAATTTAAAAAATCCAAAAAAGGGATAAATTTAAATTTAATTTGCGTCATTTAAATAAAATATTTTATTCAAAAATGATTTTTTTTGTTAGTTTCCGTAGATTATGTTGGCAAGCTATATTCAAACAAAAATTTTATAGACTCCCTTTTTTTAAATATCTTTTTTAAATTTATTAGCTAAATTAAATTAATTTTTATTTTTTTTATTTATTAAATAAAAATTAGCAGATTATTTTTTTTAATACGGATTGTTTGTTATTCTTTTAAATTTGTAGCCACATGATTTAAAATTTTTTTAAATATTTATTTTAATTTTAAATTTAAAATATGAATTTATTTTATAATTAAATTTAAAAAAAAATAATTATTTTTTTGTTCTAAAATGTTTAAATTAAAAGTTAGAGATAAATAATTTTACTGAAAAAACAGTTTCTGCAGTTTTATCTAATATTTATATCACTGAAGTACTTATAGCATATTTGAATACTTATATGAAGTATTTATATCAGTAAATTTTATAGATTATAATTGTGCCTTTATTTTATAAAATTATTTATTCTAAGGAATTATTCGGATATCCTAAATTCAACCAAAAAATTAGGTTCCATGAGGTTTCAATTTTATTCCTTTTCATAGGTTTTATATTTTATAAAACATCTTGAATGTGGACCAATTTTTAAAAGTACTACAAGGAATAAGGACGGAATAAATAAAAGGAAAAAATAAAAGGACGGAATAACACCAACAAAAATAAACGAAATTCCCGAGTTATAAGGAAAGAAAAAATCTTTGGACTACCCATAAGGAAAGGCTTTAAGGCAACGAAACTTACAATAACATGTAAACATTTTAAAATTTTACATTTAAATTTAAAAAATTTAATTAATCAATTAAATGTCTGAATATTAATTATAGACAATAATGAAAGTCGCCAACAATGCCTAATTCAGACGCCCTTTCCTTTCCCATTCTCGCCTTTATAAATTAACAATCAATCTATCAATTTATTCATTTGAAAAAAATTTTTTATTGAAAATTAAATTTTTTAAAAGAATAATTTTTTTAATTTAAAAGTTAGCTAAAATCTAGAGTTGACATTTTCAATTCCCCCCCCCCCCCCTCCCCTCAAAAGCCTGGCTTTTTTCTTCCAATCCGACCCGGGCCGTATTTTCCGGGTTAAAACCCCGAAAACCCGGATTTTATTAAAATACCCGGCTTCCGGGCTACCGGGCCCAGAAAACCCGGTCCCGGTCCGGGTCCGAACTCTACTAAAAACATTGTTTTTTATTTAAATTATAACCAGGCTTATTTATTTTACTAAAAAGAATTTTTTTTGTTTGTGTTGACTTTAACTAGAATCCCAACAAAAATGCGTGGCTAATATAAATTCCCCTTTTTGTGTTGTGAAAAGTTTTTCTCGATTTTATAAATTTAAAATTTGTAGTTTAAAGTTTTAATTTATTTAATTTAAAAATAAAAAAATAGTCGATTAAAAAAATTAAAAAAATAAAATTAAGAAATAAATATTTATAAAAGTTGTCTGTTAAAAATTTTTTTTCTAAATTAAAATCAATAAAAGTCTAATAATTATTAATTATAATTAAATTTAAGGAAGTATTTTGAAAAAAGAAGAATTTTTTAAAATTAATTAAAAAATATATTTTTAATTAAATATTATTTTTAATTTAATTTTAAATATTAAATGATTATATTAAAATTATTATTTGCTTTATTTGTTTCACTAACATTGTTAACTAATGCTGCGGATACTGGCAAAGTTTGAATTTTATTTAAATTCCTTGATAATTTAAAAATTTTTTCTTTGTTGAAATTAATTTTTAAATAAAAAAAGGGAGGGGATAAAAAAGTTAAGAACGCATAAACTCCTAAAAGTAATATTTACTACGGTGCCAAAGGCACTCAAAATAGTAAAGCAGTTGGGCTATAGCTATTTCTCTCCTTTAGCTAGTGTAAAAGGTTAATCGGCGGCTGGGAGCGAACCAGCACTTTCAGTAGACCGGAATGATGTGTTAGCCATACACCACGCCGTTTACTGCACAGCCTTAGAAATTAAATATCTACATACAGGGTGCGTGAAAAGTTCCCGGAATTTTTAAAATTTCAATTATTGGGGTGAAACATTGATTATTACAACAAAATTCGTTCATAATCATATTTAGCACGATTTTTGGGTTCAGAAACAAAAAAATTTCAGAAACAAAGAACAAAAAAATTTACAAAAAATTTTAACAAAAGTTTGTGGGAGGAGGGGTGTTAAGGGGAAGTCTTAAGTTGAGGGAAAGTTGAGGGGTTACTGATGAATATTTTCTTTTTCCAAAAAAACTTTTTTGGTAAAAAATTTCAAACAAATTTTTTTTTAGAAGTCGTTAAAACGCCAACATAAAAGCGATGGTTATTATATGATAAAAGATAAAAAAATTAGTATTAATGTTATTACCCCAAAAAGACTTACTAAAAGTTGCGAAAGTTTCAAAAATGATGAAAAGGAAGACGAAAATGAGAATGAAAATAGAAAAAGTTTAGAAGAAATTTGGGGTGAAGTGATAAAAAACAGGGAAAAAATCCCTTCCCCTTCATCAAAAACTACTTTAAGCGATACCCAATTTGTTAACTCAAAATGGTTTAAAGACTGGAAAACAAATAAAAATAATTCTTTTAAAGAAGAAGAAGAAAAGAATGTAGAAGACCATCCAAAATTGGATAAAAAAGATGAAGATATTTTTAAAAACTATAAAAATATGGAACAATTTAAAATTTCTGAGGGAAATTTGGAGAAGACTAAAGCTGCTTCTGTTGAAAGGGAAATTGCTCAAATGTTTTCAAATCATCTTTGTAGAATTAAAAAACACAAATCTTGTGATGAGGTTAAATTTAGGGAAATTTTTGTGATAGGAATTAAACTAGAAGTTAATAAAATGGTACTACCTGATAGGCAAAATCCCTTCGAATGCCGGAGAGCTATTTAATGATTAATCTCAAATTCTCGCTAAATCCTGCACTCAAAATAGTGCGGGATCATAGCGTTACAATAGTTGTGGTCAGATGTACAGCGACTTGAGATATAAGCCTTTAATTATTACCTATACATATATAAAATAGTAATAGTGTTCGGCGCTGTTCGGTACTACCGAAAGTAGCAGACCGATATACATAGGTAACCCTATCGGAGGAAACAATTTGCCAAACACTATTAAATAAATCATAAAAATTTGTTGCTAGAACTGTTATTTTACTTGAATAATTAATTATTTAAATTTAAGTTGTCTATTTCGGAATTAACAAAATCATATTCAACAAAAGAATCATTTAAACAAAACAAGGCTAAAAAGCTTTGCAGTCCCTCAAATATTAAAAACTTGGCAGCTGGATATTATGATAATGAAATTGATGAAAATAATGAAAATAAATTGAAAATGAAAGAAATTGGGTTAAAAACTTCAATACAATTAGCTTTAAGGAAATATTTATGTTCTTTGTTTAATGGAAGTTTAAAGGAGGGGGAAGGGGAGGAATTTCAAAAATACAGAGTATTTAAAAAGTAAATTTTTTAAATGGTAACTTGGGTAATGGATATTGGGTACATACTACATACATAGAACCTTTTTTGCTGACTTTTTAGTCTCAAAGAATTTAAAATTTTCTTGGAACAAACCTGAAATCTCGTAAAACCTTGAAAATAATCGAGAATTAGGTAGTTTGTATTACTCATTTAGAAGAAATATATTTCTCGAATAATTACACTGGGTAATCATTGTTCAACAAGGGTTGAGCGGGATCGGGATCGGGCGGGATTATCCCGGTTTTTTGAATCCCGATTTTAGGTCGGGACTCCGATCCCGCTCAACTCAGTTTCAACCTCTCGCTACAGGAGGTACTTAAAAGGTAAAGGGCAAATAGTTCGCGTGTGATAGTGCATTTGAACGAGGATAATTATTTTTTCAACTTTCCACTATAGGAGGTATAAGTAATAGGTAGGGGTAATTATTCGAGGGAAAGTAATTAATCGAGAAAATACGTTAGCCCTTTAGGTAAAATTTCGGTATACGACACAGACGCCGATTAAGTCGAATGATATGTCATTCGAAAGAGCTCGTCGAGTTGAGTCGAATGGTGAAAAAATTTTCGTGCGGACTCACAGAGGGGCTGAGATATAAGCCCCCGAAAATCGAAAAACCATAGGGGGGACCAAGCACTTTTTTGGGGTGAAAAATTCGAAAATGCAAATTATAACTCATTCGAAAGAGCTCGTCGAGCTGAGTCGAATGACACCAAAATCAACGAAATCCGACTTGATTGGACAAAGTTATGATCTTTTATTTTAGCTCCTTACCTATGGCATCTGAGGAGATTTTTGCTGCTACGGAGGCCCCAAATACGTCCAGAGCAAGGGAGATAGGAATAGGTTTATGTTACGAGCCCAGACCCAGCGCCCGTAGACTCCCCGCGAGGCGCGTGCCGCAAAACCCCGCGCGAAGCGCGGGGTTTTGCACAAGCGCCTCGCCGACGCCTCATAGGTTTATGTTGTTTGTTCTTCTATTGTAACTTTGTCCAAATTTGTACAATCACGATGATTTTGGTGTCATTCGACTCAGCTCGAGGAGCTCTTTCGAATGAGCTACTATTTGCATATTCGAATTTTTTACCCCAAAAAAGTGCCTGGTCCCCCCTATGGTTTTTCGATTTTCGGGGGCCTATATCTCAGCCCCTGTATGAGTCCGCACGAAAATTTTTTCACCATTCGGCTCAACTCGACGAGCTCTTTCGAATGACATATCACTCGACCTAATCGGCGTCTGTGTCGTATACCGAAATTTTTCCGCCCTTTATCCCTAAATCATAATTTAATTTAAGGAAGGATGAAATTTTCCCCCATAATTACAAAAATGATTTTAAATTCTCCATGTATTTTGCAAAACAATTTCAATTATTATGGAAAAATAATTTTAAAATAAAAATAGAAGAATTAATAATATCATTAACCGAAAAAGAATTAAAAGGATTTGAAAATCCAGCAAAAAGTAATTCAATATTTTTTACATCTGTGAATGGAAAATTCTTTCTAAAAAGTGTTAATAAAAAAGAATTGGATTTTTTCCTGAAACAAAATGGAGAAAATTATTTAGAAAATGAAAGAGAATTTTTTAAAGGAGGGATACATGATTATTTTAATTATGTTAAGAATGGAGAAAAATCATTTTTGCCTCAATTATTTGCTTTTTTTAAATTTGAGGTTTTCTTTATAAAAGATATTTGCGGACCTTTTTTATTTTATAATAAGATAAGTCGAATTGTAGCAATTGCTCGTACAAACAACATCTCCATTAAGTATCACCAAAGGGAGAAAAGGCATATTTCCTCAATTTCCGGCGCTGTAGGCGAAATTTTTTTGGGGGAAAAGCAATGAAACGCGATACGATCATCCCCTTTTGTTGTGGCTCATTAGCCATCATCAGGGGCTAATGAGCCACCCCTGGCCGTCATTGCAATTGCGGTCCGCAACTTTCTGAATTGTTTTTTCTAAATTTATGTACATATACATATTCTATTAAATTAATTTTTAGGAAAATAAAGACAACAATTCACATTATTTCTTCATTCAAAATGGATTGTTTCCTGAAAATATACCCTGTTTGGATTTTATATTTGATTTGAAAGGTGCTTCATATCATCGTTGGAAAGAAGATGAAGACAAGAAAAAAGCGATAAAAGAAAATAAAAATAAAAAAATTTTGGAAGAAAATGAAGAAGAAACTAAAGTTAAAGTTTATAAAGAATTAGATTTTGTTCGCTTTAGGGAAGGCGAAAATATTTTGAATTTTTTCACTTTAACGAAAGATGAAATAATTGAAGGAAAATTCCCCAACGGAATTTTATTAAAATCTGAACATTATAATGAAATTACTAAAAATTTGGAAAGAGATTCGGATTTTTTGGCTAAACATAAAATTGTTGATTACAGTCTACTTTTGGGTATTGTAAAAAATGATGGAGAATATACAAAAGATTATACAAAGTTTGTTTTTAAATTAAATAAAGCCGGACACCGCTATAAGACCGCTATACATTTACTGCTAGATGGATCTCAATTTCGAATATATTTTTCTTTTGGTAATCCACAATATATCCCGTGTTTATCTTATATATAGCGAGGTTCCCGACTATATTTAAAATATACGCAAATTAAAACAAGAGAAAGTTTGCTAATTTTATTTGACTGTCAGACATTTGGGACAAACTTAACAAAATAATTAATTTAATAATTTCCGGATATATAGCCACTGGATTTTGTAAAAGTACTTTTAACTGTGAATAAAAAATATTTTTTTAATGTTACAACAGAAATAATAATAATAAGATTTTTGTTTACACAAATGCCCGCAAATGTCTGCGCAAATAGACTTTATTATAAGTGCCTACATATTTATTTTATTTAGTAATAAAAATTAATATTTTTTAAATATTAATTTTTGAAATAAATTTGGGGTTAAAAATATAATAAAAAATTTAATTTAAAAAATTTAATTTTAAGTGCTCAAATAAAAAGTTATCCAGCAAAATGTACAAATTGTATAGGAGAAAATACAGAACAAAATTTAATTATTTTTGTTGGAATAATTGATGTTTTACAATTTTTTAATTTTAGTAAAATAGTGGAATTTCTTTGGAAAATTGCTTTTATTTTTCCTGTTAGTTTTTTTTAAATTTAATTTTGATTTATTTATACACCTTCCGCAAGATTTATCTGCAAATCTATTTTTTTAACAAAAAAAGGTTTAAAACGGCTAAATAAAAATTAATTTTAGCTAAAAAGAATATACAGTATTTATTCTAATAGAACCACCGGCAGTTCTATTTTTCAACCTTTCCATTTAAAATGGTTATATGTATTAGAGACTGTGGTTCTATTAGAATAAATATTGGCACCGTAAATGCTGAAATAATGTCACTTTCTCAAATAATTACACACGCCCTATTAATTACCCCCTACAGCCAGAGATTGAAAAAATAATTACCCCTCCTAAAAATAGTTATAAGTAGCCCTTCTAAAAAGGCTCAAATAATTACCCCCTCCCTTTTAATTACCCCTCTAGCGAGAGGTCGAAACAATAATTACCCTGGGTAATTATTTTAGCAAATACGTTTTTATATTTAAAAAAATTTTTCTTTCTAAATAAACAGACTTGCGGATAAAATTTGCGGATCCATTTAAATTAATTATTTTAATTTTTTCTAGACATACAAAGCCTTTCCATTAAATATTAACCAATATCAATGCAGCATTATCCCTCCAGATCAGTACCAACAATGTTTTAATAATTATATTAAAACAATTATTTTTAAAGATGAAGAGGAGGAAGAAAAGAAAAAACGTTTAAAAAAGAATTAGTAAATTATTTAAAATTTATTTTTTTTTAATTTTGAATTTTTTTTTAAACAAAAGTTTTGTAAATTAAAGAAATTTTTAATTTTTAAATTTTTTAAAGTAATTTTTTTCTTAAATTCTTGTATATATTTTTTCATTTTTTGTATTGTATAAAAACTTCTATTTTTAGCTCATTTATGATATTTTTATTTTTATTTTATTTTTTATTTAAAATTTTTGTTCTGTAAAATTGAGTTGATCAGATAAGAAAGAATTTAATTTAATTTTAAAAAATTTGTTAGAATAAATTGAAAATTAAATAATAAATATATATAGTTCAGTTATCCCGTGTTACCCTCAATTACATTTTCCCAAACCCCTATCCCTTTATTTTTATTAAACCCCAATATATCCAACAATTTAACTCCCAAATTTTTTTCATTTTTTAATTAAGCCCAATTATTTCTTTTAACAGTTAAATATTAAAAATATTTTTTTAAGTTTTTTTTCAATTTTAGGTTCAAAATTTATTTAAAGAAAAACAAACTTTAAATGAAAAATCCCTAAACGATAAATAAAAAATAAAATAAAAGGTGAAAATAA